TAAGCTTTGCGCCGGTGCTTGGGAAGCGCGGCCACTCCTCTCAGCACACGAATTAACTACACTGAAGGCACCCCTACAATCAAGCCACCATTCAGGCTAAGGCCTCCTTTAAAAGGCTCCACGTGGATTTGTGGATCATCCAGCCCAGGCCAGGAAAATAGTCTGTACCTGCCAAGATCTCGCAAGTAGGACATACTTGGCTTTTGCGGTGCAAAAGCCGCATGTGGAAGGGAACAGGGCCCTGCGGCCCTGCGCACGAAACAGCTTGGACTCGTTGGAGACCAAGCCAGGAAACCCTGAGCACGCTCCCTCAATTTGCAACCTCACGAAAACGGATGCAAACAAAATGCTTTGGAGGTGCCATTGTCATTCCACGCAGATACGCAGAAAAGCGTAGGATCCTCCTGGCGACATGCGCGGATATGCGCGGTAGCAGCTTAGCGCATAGCTGCACAAGTAACTCTCTGCGTCCTGCAATAACCAAGCCGTAGATCGGAATAGCCACAGAAAGTCAGGTGCAACCTCCATTTCGGCTCCGGTCGGAGCAGTTCTCAAGAAGGAAGAATGCAATATGCACTGGCCAGCAAGTCATTCTCCAAGAAGACTGCGAATTCAAAGCGCTGACCTTCGCTTGACAAAGGAAGGAGAATGAATGTGCACTGCATGAGGGCATGGCGTTCGAAGCTCTCCGCCAACGCGAAGCGGAAGTGCTCGGAGATTTTCGAGACTGCGTTTTTCGATTGCCTTGGGGCTTTGCATGAATTAGCGGGTTATGATGGCTAGTTCAACTTGCCAACAGAATCGACTAAGAACGTGCATGTTCACTGCAACGGAGGTCTGCACAGCGGAGCGCGGCTCCCAACGAACTTGCTCTTGCGCCTCAGAAGACAGCACAAAGTTGACAAAGTCACTAAGGACCATCAAATGTTGTATGTTCGTTCGTGTCAGAAGCACGCCGAGGCTGCTTCACCAAAGCGCTTGGTGGTCGGTGGTTGGTCCATCACGACAATCACCCAATCGACGTGCAGAATGAAACGTAGCAACCAGCATCTTGACCCTTAACAGCCTTAACAGCTCCCCCGAAGTTGTTCCAACGTGAAGGGCACCAAGTCACAAATTATGTGCAGTCTCGTGTAAAGCCCTTAAACCAGAAGGGGGGGGGGCGGGGGGGGCACTTCAAGAACATCAGCGAACCCATCCAAATTCTGCGACATGTGCTTGTCTACACCCGCTACATTACTCTCACCAAAAAAGGCAAATGTGCAAAACTGCAATGAATGCAAAGATGCAAACACGAAGAAACTGTTGCTGTCGGCACTCGCCGAACTGAGCCAGCTTCCAGACATCCACCTTCAAATTTGGCGCGGCCTTTTGCACCTCGGCACCAAGGCTCACGTACGCGTGTTGATCCACAAGCTCAAAGCAAAGATAAACAGGGATAAACACAAGTCTCGTAGCCTGTAATGGAGCACCCCATAAACTCAGGATGAAGCAGCCGCTTCCATCTTGGTGTATGCGGTATCGTCATCCAGGGACACGGCAATCCGAAAGCTCTGAATCTGCGGCGGAGGCCGTCTTCTAACTTCCACCTACTACACGCCAAGCATGCATCCGATTGCAGATGCTAGTTCATCGTAGAATAGCAATAGCAGCATAGTAGTAGTAGTAGTAGTAGTAGTAGTAGTCGTCGTCGTCGTCGTCGTCGTCGTAGGAGGAGGAGGAGGAGCAGTGGCAGCAGTGGGGCCAGCACGCGGTGTTTGGTTCCGGTTTCGGGGAGTCAGTAAAGGTGTTTGTTCCCGGAGGGGCAAGTATTTGGGGCCCAGTACATACTCGGCTCATGGCGGTAGAGAGCATGTGTTGGGCAGACTTGCCAGGAACAAGGTCGACAAGCAGAAACTCAAGCGATGCCAGTCTGCCACTTCATCACATCACATCAGCACATCACACCAACAACATTCAGCAACTGCGAGGTTCAAGTTTGCATCTGACAGCGACAAAAGGGATTTGGTGATCTGGCGCAGAGCTTCCGCCTCATCAAGCTGCGCAAGGGCAGCGAGACACCTTTCGAGGCAATCTGGCTTGTTGTGGGCGATGACCTTGCAAACGAAAAACGGCATATGCCGAACATCGCAGCGAGCATGCAGACGAGGCAGGGCAGCGCACGACGATCACCAAATCCCCAGGCCTGAAAGCAAAGGCTCGCTGGCTCTGCACGCGAGTTGAACCAGAGTTGACGGGCGCATGCTGCCTCAGTGGCTCTCGCGAACCCGGCGAGCGCAACGACGCCATCACCTGCGAAGTACTGACCTGCGCTGATCCCAGAAGTGAGAAGCCCCCTACTCCACATTGCACTTGGCACGTGATCTGCAGCCTCTCGAGGCTTCTGGGAAGAGCCACATGATTTGGTGTAGGACACCTGCACGAGGAATCAAAATTGCATCGGCCGAGGACTACCGATTACCATTGCATGACCACCAAAACCGACCAACATCAGCAGCACCAAATCTGAAAAAGGCGCGCAAGCGGCCACACGTCGTCTGGATGGTGCCAAACCCTTTTCACCACCCGTGCATCTCACGCCGGTGCCCTGGTCTTGCGATGCACTCCTGCCTGCTCGCATTTCCCCCGGAACCAAGCCCACCGATTCCACTGATGCCACGGCTACAGTACGCATCTCACCAATCATCACTTTATCTCTCTACCGTTTTCTGCAGTCGGCCAGAATCGCAGGCGATGAGAGTGATACAGGCTTGGTACAGCTGCGCCACCTCTGGAGGAGCACGCGGCGGTGTGTCGGCCAAGTAAGGAAAGCCCCCTGAAGCCAAGGACTCAACAAGTTCTTTCACGCATCTGCCCAGCGTCCAAGGCCCTGGCTGCGAGCTGAGCAGCCTCTAAGATAACAACTTCCGACTCACGGCTTCTCAAAAAATGAACAGCAGCTCCCTTCAAACTGGCTGCAGTTCATGAATTGGTGCTATTCATTGTCATTTCAGGCATTGGCGCTGTGGTGAGGAACAAGTCACTCCGGCACAGGCGTCCTCGAGCACATGCGCCATCTCCGCACTGCTGTGAGCAAGAAGCGGCTTGCGTTGTTGCACACAATGTTGCTGTTCTATGTACGACTCTACAGTCTCAGGATTCGACACCAGCCGCGACACACCTCGAACATTCTGCTGACAGTGCTGACAGCCACACGTAGACACGTAGCCACACAGCCACGCCGAACATCAACGAACATCAACGAACCTGTGAGGACTCGGCGACTCTTGGGCTTCTGGCAAACTCTTTTCCGCGGCACCTGCTCGGAGCCAGTGATCAAGAAAGGATATGGCGGCTATGGCAAGGGCCGGTGCCGCTCCCAGCCTGAGTGCAGCAGCCTCACGAGATGCACCATGTCTGAAGAAGGCAACATCTCGTGTACTTTCTGCCGGCTTCTTAGTTCGCGGCTCTCCTAAATATTTCCCATGATGCTTCTGCCAGGTGCAGCCCCTTCAAAATGTCAAGTGGTGGCACAACCCATCGATTTGCGGCTAACATAAATGACTGGGCTGGCGCCTCTTCTCGAGGCCCTCCGAAGCCCTGCAAAAGCCCGAACCAATGTGGCAGCCGTATTTTTCATACGCAGAGCTGCGGGAGAACTCAGCAGATCGATGTGTGGGGGAGGGTAAGCAGGTAAGCAGCTGGGGCGACCACGCTGGCGATGTCGATGGCGCCTGGTCTGGCTGATCCTTTTCCCAAGTCGTCAGCCTGCCTCAACAGTTGGACCAGCATGTGGCCATTTCGACTTCGTGGTCCCTTTGCAAGGTTGGCCGACTCTGAGCTACTCGGGTTCTGCGGACACCGACACTTCTTGGCTGAGGCTGTGGCGCAAAGCCTGCTGCTGCTCCTTCTCCATGGCGTCCAGCTGCCTGGCTATGTCTACCTCAGATGAGTCAAAGAAGCTGTGGACACGTATTTTGCAGGGTCAGCAACCTTGCTTGCTCAGCAAAAAGCAGTTCGCGGAACGTCTGAATCGTCCAAAGCCTGCTGCTTCGGCCACATTGTCTGCCTCAAAACAGAACCATCCATCAGCGGGATCTCTCGATTCCGGGCTGAGCCTACCAGTACCCACAACCCCGAGAAAGACACAAAATTGCGGCACTTCTTCTTTAGCTGTGATTTCCATGGCTTGATTCGACTTTTGCCATGGTTGTGCAGGTTCTTGAATGCCTTGACTGTCCACCACGCAGAACATGTCTCAACTTGGGGGCCCTCGCCCCGCCCGCCGCTTGGCGAGTCATTATCCCCCATATGCTTTGAACTTTGGGTGAGGTCCCAAACAGGGTTCCGAGGGACCCTTACTACAGAACCTCTAGACTTCTTGGAGCCCGAATGAGGTCCCGGTGCAGGGCCCTTTCTTCATGTCCCCGAGCGATGCGACTCTTGTGATAAGAGCTCAGCTTCCAGCACAGACTGTGCAAAGTGAGCCTCCCATGAGTCCAACTTCAACTCAACCGTAGGCCAAACAAAGGTTGAGTAAAATTGACTAAAACTGTCAAAGCAGTGGGCCTCTGCATCTCCTCGTCCTTATTGGGGCAGTGATGGTTTTGTGTGTTGCCAGCTGTTCTCCTGCATCTCAGGATCCTGCGCCGCAGGTTAGATATGAGCCGCTGTCCTGCGGTGATGCAACCAGGCTCTTTCCCAGCAGCCAGCTGCCCTCCCAAGATGCAGCCTCCTTCGGACTCTACCTTCTGCAAGCGCCACCTTGCTGACAACGCCAGGCTGCCGGCAACAGTAGTTGCTATTGCACTTGCTGACACTTTGAGATGAAATCCTGGGATTTGCACAGCATGGCCGGACAGCCGAGCAGAGTTGACAGGCTCAAAGTGATCATGACCTCACCCCCGACGAGCCGAAGAGTCAGTCGCATCCAGTGCCAAAATAGCTCACAAAGGAGACTGGCCCGGCACTCACACTCGTTTTGCGCAGGCGCAATCTGCATCGGCAGCTGAATCGCACTATGCACACAAGAGCTGAGCAGGCAGCTTCTAAGTCTTTGCTCAGCTGCGTGAGTCGTTGAAACACAGCTCACGTTTCATTTGCGGAGGTCGCGGCTGGCATCAGCACAGCAGCGGCCGAATGACGAAAGCTGCCAGAAAGAAGCCGCTTGAAAAAGCTCGCAAGATATGCAAGATTCGAAACAGAATCAGCACTGCAAAAGAGAGGCACATGGTTTGGCAATGACAATTCAATACATATCAAGACATCTTTCCGACAGGTCTCCAGCGGGCCGAGGGCTACAAGATGCAAGCAGCATTAAGCTGTCCACTCTTCCATTGGACGTCCCTCTGTTATGGCCTTCCTGATGGCTGCTTGGATGTTCGCTTGAACTTCTCTGCGAACTCTTTCAGCCCCAGCCTGCAAGGCCTCCGCCGCTGCACGGCCAGACAACCCTTCGGCCTCCGGGCAACCTTCTCCTCTCTCAGGTCGCTCCATGCCCTTTGGCTGGGGGATGAAGGGCTGTGGCTCACGTGGAGCCGGCCTTCTGTCGTCGTCTCTGCGATTCTCACGGTCACGTCGCTCGTCACGTCGCTCGTCGCGGCGATCGTCGCGCCGGTCGTCGCGGCGGTCCTCGCGGCGGTCGTCACGGTCTCGGCGGTCACGATCTCGCTGCTGCCGATCGCCTCTTCCTTCGCCACGGTCATCACGACGTTCCCGATCGAAGCCTCGATCACGAGAACGATCTCCGCGACGCGCATCGTGAGCTCTGTCACGATCTCGCTGATCACGCTGATCACGCTGATCACGCTGATCACGCTGATCACGGCCCCGATCACGAGACTCGGGCTTGTCACCCCGCTGCACACGGTCCAAGTAGCTGCCCGGTGCCGGCCGGCCTGGAGGACCGAGTGGATCACCGCTAGCAAGCTTTTTGATCAGCAGCATGGCCGTTGCTGACGGCTTCCCGGAGCACTCAAAGTGCTTCTCCAGGTCATAATAGTATTCGGCCTTCTTTTCCTCTGAGCATCTTGCAAGGATGTCGGCAATATTCGTTTGCGCGATGTCGTCTAACCTGAACTTCTCTGCCAAATGCTTCATCCGCTTATCGCGATTCACAGCAACAAATATGCCATCCTCGATTTCTTTCATCTTGACGACAAGCATTCCGCACCTCGAGCGACAGCTTCGATCATGACTAGAAGCTGAAACCACAGGTTGCCCCACCGGCCCTTCGCCCCCGACGATTGTCATGCGCAAGGCTATGCACATGGCCCCACCCGAGGGAAAGCAAGAGGCCTCTTTCTCTCCCCGGGCCAGGGTCCCAATCAGTGTCGTATCATCCGGGCAGGGCAAGAAGGGAGTGTGCATGAGCGTGCACGATAATGCATGAGCGCACGCATGCCTCCTTGCCCACCTCCCTCCCACCTCCACCTCCCAGGCCTTCAACTCTGAACTAAACCACCAAGCACTTCTGCCAGGCAATGTTCCACGACTGCTGGTCGTGGTCGATGGCAGCTAATTGGGGCAGGCCACGGAGATCGCGCTTTCTCCATGATTTGCCGAAGCTTCTTGAGATCTTCGTCCCAAGTGTCCAGCCTTACCATCTGCATGTTTGTTCTCCATGCATCGGCACCCACCGCCTTTTGAACACATCTAGCTACCCTTGAAACATCTGAGACGACCAGAGTTCCGATTCTTCATCAGCTCGTTGAGCTTCTCCACATGGCGTTGCTCAATGTAAAAACCTAGGCGGCCAGCGCAAGCAATGGGGCACCTTGTTCCTGAGAAACGTAGGCGTTACAAAGGTGCAGCAATGCTGGCTCAGGCACCTTCGCAAAGGTCTGTGATGTCGGGATGGATCCGGCCGTGCTCTGACACATAGATCTTCTTGGGATCATAGCCATCTTTGTCCGTCTGGTGGCCTTTCTGCATGTGACTGGCCTGGCTGCAGGTGGTTCCAAACGATGCCAAAGGAAGATCAATGAAGCATCGCAAGCATCACCCCAGGCCTGCGCAGGTGGTGCTCCATGTGCTCCATGTGCTCCACTGCTTGACGTGGCAAATGCAGCTGGCAGAGTTCCTGCGCCCATCTTGGGCATGGGGACCGGCATGCCTGCGGCACTTCGCAACAACACCTCTGCAACTTCTCGTGTCGGTGGGAGTGTCGATGCCGTGATGCCGTGCCTCCCATCATATTCAGCGCAGGCTTGCCCATCGCCGTCATGGACATGAGGTTTTGAAGCTGCGCAAAGGCACTCCTTAGCTGACGGCCCTGTGCACAACTGCACGAGCATGAGCGGTCTGCGAGTGAGCGACTGAATGTCATCCATACCACCCATCGCACATCCTCCCACACCTTCGCCGCCTTCAATGCCGGCCTTCTTTCTGCCCATTATTTCTTGGAAAGCCTGTCGCATGAACCAAATCAGTTGCATGCAGTTGCACTGCTTTGGACTCTTGGGTTCGCCAGGCTTCGAACCCCGCCTGCGGCTCTAGCCGGATGTTGTCAACTGTTGCAGCTTCAACAGGTGATGCCGGCCATTGCGCGCAAAGCTAAAGCTGCAACTAGACCCTACAACATTTAGCTTCTTAATGCCAGCTGGGATGGGACCATGAGGGGGTCGGAGAAAAGCAGTAACCACCACATATGCATGGAAAGGTACCACGTCGTAGATCACAACACATGACTCAACAGATGCTTTAAGAAAATCACACATGGCATTGGATGTCCGAATGGCCTCGCGCCAAGCTCTCAATACCAGTGCATGCAAAGCAAACTCCAAGTTCTCATGGTTTCAAGTATCCGGCACACTGCGTGAAGCTGCATGGGGAAGATGATTCTACCGCATGGTCTGCATCGTCCTGAACAAAAATCTCTCCAGATGTCTTGCCAGGCAGCACTACAAATATGAAAATCCAGTGAGGCTGTGCCCCACCTGCTGACGCTTTGGATTTCGGCGCCTTGCAATGTTTAGAGCAAAGTCCAAGCAAGACAACCCGCTGAGGCACCGGAACCCAAATTCTTTCGTTGGTAGGGTCCTAGCCCTGTGGGCAAGCGTCCTCTCATTCCACCAATGAAGCCGGACCTCATCATTCACAAGACTCCAGCCCGAAGCTGCTCTCTCCTTTACTTGCGCTATTTCACCAACTTCCTATACCTTGCTGGCACAAGCTCGCAGATCTGATGCTGCCACTTCAGCTCTGAGGCGCGCACCGGCCTTGACCAGGGTTCGGCGTCGCAAACCATTGGACGGCCCTGTTAGTGTGGCGACCGTTCGCCACTCTATGGACTCCTACATAGACCCTTGCGACCTGTGCGGAACAGACATGTGCCGATTGAAGAAAAGGGGTCTACGATACTGGGGGTACCATATTGGGGTCTGTATTGGAAGGGAATCAAACTACTTGGGGAGTCTTTATTTGGGTCCCCTATTTTCGTAAACCCCCATAGAAAGAATCGAGACAGTTGCTAAATGAGCGGCTGCACTCCTTGCAAGAAAATCAAAGTCGAAACACGAATCAACACAGGATGACATGTTCTACAAAACTGGCTATGCCAAGCTTTCTGGCCAGGGAGAGCAAGCAGGCACGAGCAATCTTCTTGTCCAAGTTGAGCTTGTTCGGGTTTCGTTTGGCTGCGACAGAGCACGCAATAAGCTTTTTTCCCGCCTGCAGCAGGTTCGTGCCTCCAGGGCCTCAAGCGGCGGAGGACTCTTCTTGGCTGTATTTCCAAGGTACACCGTGCAGACCCGGAGTTATGCTTGCTGGAGGCCTTGGAACCTTCGGAGCCATCGGCAGAGGTGCCGAATGGTGACTCGCACTTGTGCTTGCAAAGGCCTTGATGCGGGACCCTCCCAGGGATTGTACCACCACCTCCTCAGCAGGAAGAACAGACAGGAGGTGCGACATGGGCGCAGATCGCAGGAGCTCTTCCAGGTCTGTGATGTATGCGCCGGTCCAGCGCCGTGCACCTAAAGCGACCTCCAACTCGAACGGCGTGCAGATGGGAACCATTAAGTCTTTAACATCCCATGTGAACTGCTCCGGACCGGATAGAAGCACGTAGCACTCTACTTCAGGGAAGTTCCCCAATTTCTCCTGCGTCGGCTGTCCCACCACAAACCTGTAGTGCTTTCGTCCACCCTTCGTGAGTAAAATTTCCAGGCGCTGTGCCAAAGCACGCCCCAGAGTTGTTGGGCCACCTGCAGCAACTAAAAGTATGCCGATAGTTGCAGCGCTTTTCGCTGCTTCAACGTAGCGGTATCTCTTCTGCAACAAGGCATCACTAAAGATCCGTTCTAGCCGCCCAGATCCTTCGCGAATCGTGGAGTCTCCGCCCTGGCTGCAAAAACGCCAGATCGGACAAACTGCTCCGAAACGTAGAAGTGCACACCTTTCAAGGGTAGACGACGGCGGACCTACGTACAGGATCGCTGATGCTTCTGGCAAGCTGTGTTCCCAGAAGGGATCAAGGCCGTCATTTGTGAAGGCCGACACCAGTCGCCCGCACACTTTGAGCTGAGTCGGTCGGGCGGCCGCTGCAAGCGTCAATGTGCCGAGGCCGGCCCACCACTGAGAAAAGTCCAGTGTGCCCCATCGCCAATCGTGCCAACGGGGCAAGATGTCGCCAGCTGCCTCTTCATGAGGCTGAGCCACCAGAATCTGCCCCAGGCCTTGACCCGCCAAAGCTTTGGCAAGAGGGTCTGCGAAGTGCTGGTAGGGCAAGTCACAGATCAGGAGCAAGTGGAAGGTGGCCTTGTGGAGGCCCTAACATAGACTTAGTCACTGACCGGGAAGATACGGCCCTCAGAACCCAGCATAGAAGCCACCCCCAGGATACCATCACCCACAAGCCAAGACATTGCAAGCAAGGGCAGCAAAGGCCAGGCATGATTTCAAGTTTGCATTTGGATGGATTTGGTCTTTTGCTTTGTCCCTGTCCCCTTGCATTTCTTGATGTGTCTATGTGTAAAACCCCTTAAGGCAAGCATGGACGCCGGTTGCGAATCAGGGGGTCAAGACACTGTCGTGCCGTATATGCCCTCGCTCGCCATCTTTCTTGTAGTCTTGCATTCGATTATAGCGCACGCGCCCACACCTGCACCCGTCCGCCCACGTGCCTGCACGTGCACACACACATGCCATATGGGGGACTTGCAGACCATCTGACCAGGGGATCGGTGCCAGCATGCGCATAGCAGCAGCAGCAGCAGCAGCAGCAGCAGCAGCAGCAGCAGCAGCAGCAGCAGCAGCAGCAGCAGCGGCCATTCGTCACGATGCCATGTGGTAACGTGGCTTTCGGCGCATCTGTTAACCAGCGCGTCCATGTAAGCAAGTCGGGTTGCGTGCACTGGGCGTTCACAGGCTCTTAGCAACGCTTTCGCCTTGCTTCCGGGGAGCATAACAGTCCTATGGGAATCAAGCGGTTCCTCTTCAAAAAATCGCGTCGTCCACCCTCAAAAAACTGCTTAGGCCCACCAGGCTGCGCCGCGGCCATGGCTCCCCGCAACCGAGCGGATGGTGCTTGCAATGGTGGCAATGTCAGCAAAGGAGTCTGCCTCCTCCTGCTCCCCAAACACAAAGAGCACGGGCAAGTCACCCCCTCGCTGTTGCTCGGCATGCCCGAAGCGTACAATGCAGTCTGCGCCGTAATGAAGAGCACCCACTTCGTCAACGCCACCTCCCCCGAAGGAGGAGTCACCCAGAATGAAAACTCGCTTTTGCGGAAGTGCCTGCTGCACCGTGCTGGTCCAGTGTGGGGCTTCCGCCAGCATCGCATCCGGAAACTGCAGCGCAATTCGTTCGAAACCATGTTCCGTGACCCAGTCCACGATTCGCTTCGCTTGAAGGTCGGCCATCTTGCATGAAGCAGCGCTGGGATGGCATCCACATTGGCGACACACTTGGGGTGCTTCAGGGGCTATTTCCGTATGTTGAACTATGTCTCTGACTACTGATCTACGGTGCCCAGCTAGTCCAGCCTAAACCCCACACACATTCGAGGCACTGTCGCACACTGCCATCAGAAAAGAAACTGAGATCCTGCCACGAACTTCCACGAAAGGAACAGTGCCTCTGAAGCAACACGCAACAAGTGAGGCATATCAATCAAGAGCTCACGGGAGACAACTCTATGCGCAGGCAGAGCTATCGCGATAAGCAGCAACCGCTGCGAGTTGCAACCTATCTGAACGACTGCCGAATGGTTCCACGCCAGCAGCATGTGCATTGCACAGCTTAATGCGCGGCGACTTCATGTGAAACTCTCGTTGGCCCTCACGGGCAGCGGAGTATTTAAGATGCAGGCCAAAGCCTGACAACATTGGTGCATTAACTTTCCTACATGCCTTCACGGCCAGGGACGGTTTATGGAAACATCCCTTTTTTGTCAGGCACAAGAACGGCCGAAGAAGGAATCATGGCTGACTCTGACACCAGTTTCTGTTTCACTGCAGGCTGGATGCCTTCGGCGCTCTGGTAATTAACGGCGACGAAATGAATTATGTTTTGGGCGTGGTATGTGTGTTTCGCAGTCATCGTGGCTGTGCCTATGGCCTATGCTTCTTGTGGTACAAGTAGAACCTGACTGCGACCACAGCTGCAACCACCTTGCCACAGCCCTCTTCAGCGCGACTTTCCACCCTTGCCGCCTTTGCCTGCAGAGATGCGCTACTGCAAGAGCTGTCAACGCGGATCAACCTTCTGAAGGTTGTGAATGGTTCTTCTGCGCCTTGCCTTTGCCCTTGCCTTTGCCCTTTCCTTTGCCTTTGCTTTGGCCTTTGCTTTTGCCTTTGCCTTTGCCTTTACCTCGTCCATCTGCTGCCCGGCCTGCTATTCAAGTCGAGTGCCGAAGGATCACAGGACCATGCAGCAAGCGCAGAGCCAGCGAAGTGCCTCCGCCAGCCTTTGACAGCCGCCTTCTCTGCTCCTGTGCACACGGAGGCAGACGTGTGGGTTCGAACCGAGCAGCATAGACGGCTCAAAAATCAGACAAGCTCAGGGTCGGTCCTCCTGGTCGAACGCAGAACGGCCCTGGAAAGCAACCTGCCCAGCACTGCGCAAATCACTTTCACAGGGGGCCACTGTGCATCAAGCGCATGTTTTTTTAAGCACATCCATCCCCATCCAGCCCCGGCAGGCAAACATCCCAGCCATGCACGAAGCCGCACAACCCCTGAACAGGCTTGAAACCGGAGGGCAGGTTAGAGGCGGCTGATACTGGCGGACTGTTCAATTTATAATCTGCGATGGCACAAAGCCAACCAATAACCAAAGAAAGACATGCCGCTAAAACAAAGGCGTCTCAAACACGAGGGCAGGAAAAGCACCAAGCTGAAAGAACGTGAGGCTCACATGATGTAGTTGCCGGGCATTAGAAGTAGAATGTACTGTTCAGAGGAGGGAGGGGGAAGAGCCGAAGAGCAACGATGCAACCCCCGTGGCGCGCACCTTCGATTTTTTTGCTTTGTGCTTCTTCTTTCCCACCTCGGGCAGAGTTGACCCCGCAAAATAGAATCGACATTGCCTGCCTCTGTGTGAATGAGGCGGGTGCATCATACTCCCAGTCAAGTGCGTCTCGACGTTGTGGGAGTGGCTGCAGTTTCTCTTGGACCTAGTCGAAAAAATGAGATTTCCCATGTGCAACTTATCCGGTTGTGCTTCGTGAGCTGCGCACGCTTTGAAAAGCCTTTTCTTGCTCCTCCGTGAAGTGCTGCTCGTCCCATCTATCCACCTGGAGATCTTTGGAAATCGCCAAGCTCTCCACAAGCCTGATTCGACCCGTCTGCATCCCTCGAGAAATCTCGAACAACACAGGCCCAACCCCAAAAGACTTCGGGAGGTTGGGAGGCCCCATGAGGCCCCGCCACATACTAACACATCTTCGAGGAGCGTCTTGGGGGTTGGTCTGGGCGCCACTGGTTGCTTCAGCAAATCCAGAGCGCTCTCTTGGACAGGGCCAGGGCAGCCGTAGGAGGGGCCGGCAGATATCGGGCCACTGAAGTAACCTTGGGCTTGAACCGTGTGTCAAATCGCGGCCTTCGCTTGTCCATACTGCGTAGTGTAGTCCGTGGATGTCGCCACCTGCTTGTACTGGTATGAGTCCGCTGGATTGTGGGCGTTGCACGCGACATGAAACTCGCAAGGTACCCTTTCAGCCGCATCTTGCTGGACAACTCTTGCCCTTTTGAGCGGTTGAGACCTCTCAAGGCGTCCATGCACACAGCAGGCTCACAAAGGGACTAGTTGCGGCTCGAGGCTTAAGCTCCTGGCACATTGTCACCATTTTGGCCTTGGATACCTGACCACACATGACCACACATGACCACATTGTGACATTGCCCTTGGCCATGGCGATACGAACAACTGAGTCAACGGCCATTTGCATGCAAAGATCTCTGTTCTGCAAGAAGGTTGAGATGAGCCTTGAAAAGTGCCGCCACATGACCCACAGCAGCAAGGCACCTGCAGCCCTGCCTGGAACGTGCGTAGGCGGTTCAATCGACACAAGCGCGACCTGCACACATGCGAGCGGGCACCAAGCCTCGCATCCTGCCAAATATGTGCCTTTTGCCCAGCGTTCTGGCGGTTCTGGGAGGCTCCTTCGACGCACTCGCCGCGCCCACCTGCATCCGCAAATGCGAGCCACTTTCTGGGCCAAGATCGCAAAAGGACGGCCACCAGCGCGGCACCTCAAGGAGCTCCTTTTGCGCTTCGCCGCTTTTCGACTCACCCGGAGCTGAAGGCCTGCGCAAGTCATGGCCCTCACACACATTGATTATGTGACGTAATGTGATGTGTGATGATGTGCCGATGGGCCTGGGAGGCTTCGTCAAAAGCAACTCTTCCACTTTGTGGGTTCCTCTACAGCAGCAGGCGATCACTGGCCCTGAGCGGCTACTGCTCCGTTACTCCTGCCTGCGTTCTCAGAAAACTAGAAGAGGGATGGCCCGAAAGCATCGATTTGCCGTGCGTTGACTCCATGCAGTTGACGCTTTGCAGCCGAAGTGTATGCACTTGGACAAATGTATGCACTTACATGATTATAGTCACTTGCACACTGCACTTGTCTACTGGACGTGTATGCACTTGAACTGCATGGCATTCAAGTGTGTGGAGTTGAATGCCGTGCACTTGTGGTCAACTCTATACACTTCATCGGCATTGACTGCAACGCCGAGCTCCGATGCTTCCACGGTGTACTGCGGTTGTACTACAAAAGTCGACTTTCCAGCCACGTTTTGGAACCAGCGAATTCGGGGACCATGGTATTTGCGATGGTTTTGGAACCAACCATGGTACTTGCGATGGTTTTGGAACCACGATATTTACGAGGTTTTCGAGGCCCCGGAATTCGAGTCCCATGATATTTGCGAGGTTTTCGAGGAATTCGAGTCCCACGCAATTTGCGATGGTTTCGACATCCCGGAATTCGAGTCCCACGATATTTGCGAGGTTTTCGAGGCCCCGGAGTTCGAGTCCCACGATATTTGCAAGGGTTTCGAGGAATTCGAGTCCCACGATATTTGCGATGGTTTCGACATCCCGGAATTCGAGCCCCACGATATTTGCGAGGTTTTCGACGAGAAAAGACAAAAACATCCCCGTGTCTGCACGCGCGCGGAAGTCCGTTACCATACTATTTGCGGTGTTTTCAAGCGCCCAGATGTCCGTTACCATGCTATTTGCGGTGTTTTTCAAGCGCCCAGATGTCCGTTACCATGCTATTTGCGGTGTTTTTCAGGCGCCCAGATGTCCGTTACCATGCTATTTGCGGTGTTTTCAAAGCACCCAGATGTCCGTTACCATGCTAATTGCGGTGTTTGCAAGCGCCCATGCAGATGTCCGTTACCATGCTATTTGCGGTGTTTTCACGCGCCCAGATGTCCGTCACCATGCTATTTGCGGTGTCTTCGAGCGCCCAGATGTCCGTTACCGTGCTATTTGCGGTGTTTTCAAGCGCCCACATGTCTGTTACCATGCTATTTGCGGTGTTTTCAAGCGCCCAGATGTCCGTTACCATGCTATTTGCGGTGTTTTCAAGCGCCCAGATGTCCGTTACCATGCTATTTGCGGTGTTTTCAAGCGCCCAGATGTCCGTTACCATGCTATTTGCGGTGTTTTCAAGCGCCCAGATGTCCGTTACCATGCTATTTGCGGTGTTTTCATGCGCCCAGAAGTCGACTTTCCAGCCACGGAAGCTCCGGATGTCCCCGGCGTACTACGTCTGTACTTCCAGCCACGGAAGCTCCGGGCGGGGACGTACTACATTTGTACTACAAAAGTCGACTTTCCAGCCACGGAAGCTCCGGGTGTCCGCGGCGTACTGCGTTTGTACTACGAAAAGTCGACTTTCCAGCCACGGAAGCTCCGGGCGTCGCCGGCGTACTACATTTGTACTACAAAAGTCGACTTTTCAGCCACGGAAGTCCCCGACGTACGGCGTACTGCGTTTGTACTACAAAAGTCGACTTTCCAATCTTTCCAGCCACGGAAGCTCCGGGCGTCCCCGGCGCAAAAGTCGACTTTCCAGCCACGGAAGTCCCCGGCGTACTACGTCTGTACTACAAAAGTCCAAAAAAACGCAAAAACACGACGGTTTTGGCACCGCGCCAACGCCGGAACCCGCAGAGGGTGTCCGCGCGCGCGAAAAAAAGTACCAAACACGACGGTTTTAGCACCGCGACCCGGCGATCAGCCGCAGAGGGTTGTCCGCGCAAATCAAGAAACGTAAAAAAACGACGGTTTTAGCACTGCGACCACGATGAAACCCGCAGAGGGTTGTCCGCGCACAGAAAGAAACGTAAAAAAATGACGGTTTTAGCACCGCGACCACGCCGAAACCCGCAGTGTCCGCGCAAATCAAGAAACGTAAAACAACGACGGTTTTAGCACCGCGACCACGCCGAAACCCGCAGAGGGTTGCAATCCCGATTGGCGATGTCAACCCAGCCCGCCCGCCTGAGAAAGAGTAATTTTAATTTAGAAATCTAGGACTGGGTACGAAGGTCTACTAAATTCTACGTAAATCTCGCACTTTCTGTTAACTTCTACTTCACTCTATGCAATTCACTCTATGCACTTCACTCTATGCACTTCACTCTATGCAATTCACTCTATGCAATTCACTCTATGCACTTCACTCTATGCACTTCACTCTATGCACTTGACTCTATGCACTTGACTCTATGCACTTGACTCTATGCACTTCACACTATGCACTTCCCTCTATGCATTTCACTCTACGCGCTTCACTCTATGCACTTAACTCTAAGTGCATCACTCTATGTACTTCACTCTATGTTGTTGGGTCAGAGGGCTCCGCACGGAAGAACCCTTCGCGATGCTTTCGGGAAAAAGCTGGACATTGGACAGCCAAGAGGCCATTGTGCTTCACCATGCCATTTACTTTGCCGTTGACATGCACCTGGGCCCATGCCAACATAAATCTGACAACCTCTGACAACCTCTGAAACCTAGCGAAACTCTGAGGAACTCTCCGATCTCTCTAAGGAGAGCACTGCAACGGATGGCACATGGTCAGCTTTGGCTTTGCCATCGGCTGCCTGGCAGAGAAGTGCCGGAGGGAACTGCGAGGCTTCTCTGTGGGCAAGGGATGGCAAGGGATGGCAAGGGCCTGTTGAACAGCTTGTACTGTTTCCTTTGCGGCCAGTTGGACCGAAGCCTTTGCAGCCTTCTCGGCTTGTTCCTCAGCCCACGCCCCTTGCGGCTTAGCGAGTCGCGACACCGCTCATACAGCACACAGCAAGAGTAGGTTGCAAACAGACTGGTAGAAGAGCAAGTAGGCCTTGTTGACACGCAAACCCCCACCAGCTTGTGGCACGCACAAGTTGAAGAAGTGCGCCTCCTGCTTGAGCACTTCTGGCTCTGCTACAGTTCGGACGTCCTGGCCATCACGTCGCGACAAAGCTACTAGACAAGAAAGCCAGCTCATGCCCAAAGACCCACGAACCTCATCATTGAAACAATGCCACGCGCTGTTATGCTTGGCCTGTGCCGTTGTGCAAAAATCGCTTAGGGGTATGGCGTCCTATCCTGCATGCCAAACAAGCTTTGCCGCGGACAAATGCGATGTAATGTCCGCTTTTGGCAGACTGCCCACCTCGGCTGCAACTATCGTGTGGCAGATAGTGCACCTACAAGCACACGCTACAGCCTGGACAGCGACTCCCAAGATCGTGCATTCAAAGCGCAATGAACCACGACACCGTACAGTCGGTAACGGGCCTGCAATGCCACTGCGAAGCGCTGTGCTGCAGTACACACCAAGTCGCATTGCAGCAGGGGGATAAGCTGACTAGGTGCGAAAGTGACCCAGCTTACAAGTCTGACTTACCTGCAAGCGCTACATAAGCCATAAATGCTTAACATACATCTACACCAAGCCTGCTGCTGCGGGTGACTGGTGAAGCGTGCAATGTCCAGCGACCTCGTCCAATCAGAGTCTCGGCAGGTGCACCATTGCTAAATGAGCCTGCAGCCCATCTTGGCTCGCGACGTGGGAAACTTCACGAGTTTTTTAAGCTTGCCTCGGATATTTCAGGATATTTCAGGCACCGGTACCCTGACATGCCGGCATGGCAGCCCTGTCGCAACCAATGGCAACCCAGAATCCGCGCAGACCATGAAAGAAATCAAACCGCTTCAGCTGGAAGGTCAGCAGCGGAGGAACGGAGTGTATGGAGAACCTGCGCTGCGCGTCACAGATGAGATCCTAAGCAACAGCTTTCGAGGCCTCTTGGTGGCATCCACTTTCTGCTCACACTTCTTGCACATGTACTTGTTGGCACCCGATAGAGCTTCACCTCAAAGATCATCATTAAAGCTAGCACAGGCAAAGTCGTGCTATGTCGTGCTGTAGCAATCTGCAGCATCTGGGCCGTCACGGCGATCTTTGCCGGGGGGCTCCTGGTAAAACCTTCCAGTGCTTTCTCGAGGGTGTTGGCGTTTTGGACCTGCAAAGGGCAAGGGCAAGGGCAATGGTAATTCGTAGTGATACGTGGGTTTCTCGGCCTCCAAGCTGATGTCCATGTATGGGTCGAAAGTGTTCGACCTCACTGGGAAGGCGGAAGAATCACAAAAGAAGCACACATGAGCAAACGTGGATATGGACTTCAGCTGGCTCCACGATGAGGTTTGCACGCATACTTGCACCTCTTGCAGAGAACCTTCAGGATATCCATTGAAAGCAAACCACCTTGTCAAGGACCTGTTGCAAAGGAACACAAAGAAGTTTGCCAGCCTGCGAGCGCAAATGCCCACCGAACAATTGGCCGATCACTGTGGTTTGCTGAACCTATCACCAGCCAAAGTTTGCACATGGAATGGGGCGGGATGTGCAAGGCGTGAGCTGCGTACCGGTCGCGGCAAAGACGACTCTGCAGTGACAGACTTCAGGAAGGACTTGTGGCACCTGTCATGAACCAATCAAGAGCTGGGCATTGGACATCGGGGCATCGGGTGTCGGCCAAAACTCATGGCATGCATGGATGAAGCCAAAGATCTACCGAGCCACGAATCCAAAAAGTGAATCAGGAACTCGTGTGCATCTTCCTGCCGTCCTCTGGACTGAAACCTCCTTGCGATCTGCGGAAGGTGGCGCAGCAGGCCCACAGGTCGGAATGCCGCCTTTTGTGCGTCGAAGACTGCTTGCAGGTGTCCCTCCAGCAGGCATAACGTGCAAAGGGTTCCATCCCGCTTGGCCATGCAGCCTGCAGAGTGCTCCTTCGTCAAGCAGTACTTCTGCAGAGGCACCGCGTACGTCAACACTTGTAGAACACTGTTGAAGTAGCAGGTATTTCCCAGATTTTGGAGACCACGTCCAACCCTTCGGGGACTCATCTCACCAAACAATTTCTGCAGCCTCTCCCTGGGGTAAAGACAATATTGTGGCTCGGGTGGTTCATCGTCCTCACTCCGAGCTTTCATTTTGGAGTCCTGTGAGCCTCTCAAGGCCTGAGCTTTCACAAACTCGATAACCCGAGGGAGGAATGGCTTCTCCACGGTGAGCCCATTCGCTGTTGCAGTCAATCCATTCAAGGCCATTGTCGTGCCTGTCTAGAAACTTGTTCAAGCTAATTGAGAGAATTGCTTTATCTGCAAAATTTGTTTGGGTGTGTTAGATCAACCATGTGCAAGGAACCTGTGGACATTTGTTGTGAATAACAGGCTAGCCATGGCCATATGAACTGCATTTTCAGCCTAAGCGTCGAGTGTCTGATAGGGCCTTTTGAAGCACTTGAAGCACCAACGTCACGCATCATACTTGGTGGTTGTCGTCTGCACGAACAACATAGAACCGTCGCGGCTGCGGTTATGGCCCATGGCATGTATGGCATGTTCCGGTTTCGGTTTTCTCGGTTTTCTCCAGGGATGATGCCGCACACCACGCTGTGTACAGGAAGCGACGCTGCCCCACGTGATTGTGTGTACATCACACGAGCACCTTCAAATGAAGCCGCTTGCAAATGCTGCTTTAAGGCTTCTCAACCCACTGTGCGCAGCTCCGGCGACATTTTTGTACACAGTGAGAACGCTCACAAAAGCCATGGGCCCCGGCAGTTTCGCTGTTGTTGGGCTGACATGACACCGCCCGGGGCGACTTCATGCGACTTCCTTCACCAGCCTCCCCTCGCTGTGTGCCACAGGGTTTGGGCTGACTTTACAACGGGTGGGTCGAGATAAGCCTGGTGTTAGGACCGCGTACACGGTGCAACCCGTCGAAAGGCGCCTTCTTCCCCTTAATTTTCTGGTAGGCATACCACCGCCTGCATACGACTCAAGCCAGAAAAATCTGACCCCTGTGGAAAGTTGACTCACAAAACATAGAGCATCCAAATGAGAAATGAGATACAGATGCAAACTCATTTATAAAGTCGTTCCCGAATTTGCGCAAAAACACTCGGACTGGCTCCCAGATGCAGGCAGCCGACAGCGGCATGCAGCAAGGGAACAAATATCCAGCTGTGCGTCTGCCTAACCGCATGTGCATTGGGTGGGGGGTTGGTTGAACCAAGCCGCATCGGCTGGCAGCGAAATTGATTCCACTGGCGCTGCCTGCGCGGCTGGTGCACCCGTAGCCGGCGGCATTGCCAGGTCTAGGTGCTGGGAGCCCCGTAGACCATACCTCGCGCAGAACATACCTCGCATTACCTCGCGTAAGGGCCACTCCAGCAGCGGTGAACGAGCGCATTGTGTGGGAGAGCGTTGGATTTTGCTGCCAAGGCAGGAAACATTTATGCCTCGGGCACGGGAAGATCCCGCCCCTCTACAGCAGCGAGCTGCTGCAGGGTGGGCATTGCGTGCACCAGCGCAGCCGGCTCCACCTTGGCCTTCCAGCTCATCCGGGATGCGTCTGAGACCTCAGACCTTGCTGCCAGCCCCACACTCGAGCGTGCGTAGAAGCTGCTGTTGCTGCTGGCCTGCTTTTGTGGCGCCCCATTGCTTATGCCTGAGTCCCTGAAGCGACCCTCTTGCAGCGGTTCGACCTGTTCTTCCGCGGGCAGTGGGCTGATTCGCTCCGACGCGCTACTGCTGAGACCGGGGCGGTCGGACTAGATTTCCGCTTTCTCGCCTTCAATGCGCGAGAACAAGGAGACGCATGGGAAGCTGCCCATTGCGCCACAACAGTGCCACAACCCCGAACATCCTGAACATCTGGAATTACCATCCTGAGCCACACCTGCGGATATTTGCGGGGGGCAGACGTCTGGGCGCTGGTCTTCCAAGAGGGGAGGCCCTGGGGTGGGGTGCTCTGTTGGCGGCCGACGCCAGTGGGAGCGGTGATCCCTTACCTGGCGCGTTCAGCTCCATGTTCCCCGTAGCTCCTCGTTTTTCCTGAGCCCAAAAACGTTTTGAGCCCTAACTTCGGAAACGCTGAAAGGCGAATGACCGAAACGTCAACATGAGTACTGCCGTGGGCTGGTCTGAGCCCTTGCTGTTCTTATTGGGGCCAAAGTGGGCTGGTCTGAGCCCTCACTTTTTTATTGGGGCCAATGTGGGCTGGTCTGAGCCCTTGCTGTTCTTATTGGGGCCAAAGTGGGCTGGTCTGAGCCCTCACTTTTTTATTGGGGCCAATGTGGGCTGGTCTGAGCCCTTGCTGTTCTTATTGGGGCCAAAGTGGGCTGGTCTGAGCCCTCGCTTTTTTATTGGGGCCAATGTGGGCTGGTCTGAGCCCTCGCTTTTCTTATTGGGGCCAATGTGGGCTGGTCTGAGCCCTTGCTTTTCTTATTGGGGCCAATGTGGGCTGGTCTGAGCCCTCGCTTTTCTTATTGGGGCCAATGTGGGCTGGTCTGAGGGAGGCCCGGCAAGTGACGGACATGAGCCGGTGCCGCCTCGGTCTGCCCGAGGGTCGGCACGCCAAGCCTCAACAGCAGGAGACGCGAGGTAGCCTGCAGCAGCGCCACGTACAACCAGGAGTTGGTGGCCTCCTGTACGTAACCTATGGGCGGTCCCCGTGAGAGCCAGTATGCTCCCCTGCTCGCTGGGGGGGGAGCGGTTGCCTCGTGAGGCGCCGGAAGCGTGCCACGCGATACTTGCGGGGCCGATCCAGCACAACCTGGCGTGCAGCTGAGCTGCCCCTGTCCACGGCTGCCCCGCCTCTGCCGGGACGTCGAGGTCCGCGAACCTGACTTCCTGCGCACACCCGTGGCAAACTCAACTCGGTCGCCACGCCGCTACGCCCGCCGCATGCCGGAGGGGGACAGGCGCCCATCGCATAGCGCGGTACGGCAGCCGCACGAAGTCTGCACCATTCGCCCCGCCGACGGCCGCGACGTGACGGCAACAAAGAACACTTACTCCCGGCGGAGGCGGCGGCTCAGGCGCGTCGTTGTTCGTGAAGGTGCGCAGCGCATAATCTCACACGGCCCCTCGCACGGTATCCTCGCCCGTGAACCTCGATGGCATAGGGACGCCCTCGTGCTCGCACGCCGCGCGGACTTCTGCATCATGTCGGGCGGTCCAGCCACCCGGGGCGCAGTCCGGGCAGCGGCTGTGTCGGCACAAAGGGCACAACAGTTCAGGTAGCTTGGACTCGGAACTGGGCGAGGCAGCTGACGTGCATGTGGCGACGGGCACAAATCGGAAAAGGAGTGGCTGCATTCGCGCCGCCGCCAGGCGGACGCAAGGCTTCGAGGCACACACAGCAAAGACTATCAGGTGCTTCCTGCGCCGCTATCGGCGTGAGATCGCCGCGCGGGGAGGCGGGTAGCGACGGCAACGAGCAATTTAGATCCTGCTCCTGGATACCAGCGGGTGTCCAGGGCCCAGGGTGCTCAGGGCTGACAGACAGGCTTTCGTGGAGATTGCCCGGAATCGCAACGGAGCTATGAAGGCACGAGCAGCTGGCACGCTCCCTTTGGAACGTGAATTGGAGGAGGTGCATAAGAACACTGAGGTGGTGTATTTCCTTTTGCCAACTCCTGGCAAGAAAGATTTTGTTTTTTTTTTCTCGCGCCCTTTTTGCGTCTGCCTGTCCGCGGTCCCAGTGCAAGTTGTGTCGCCGATCTCAAGAGCAGCTACGGCAGACGGCGGGCAAGGGGGGGCGCGACCGAGGAGTCGGCGAGGGAAAGACAACAACAGGAAGCGAGACGAGGATGACGAGCACACGAGGATGACGAGCAGCAGACTAAAAGTACACATTTTGGCTGAAGGCTCAAGGCAAGAGCCATGGTGTGTCACACCTGGGAGCGGGCCCGGTATAAAATCTCCACTGCCTTGATTCTCCGGGGTCGCCCGGGCCACCCAGCGGCTTAGGGTTTTGCCCCTCGGGTTTGTGCTCTTTAGGGAGGCCCGCAAACCTCATGCTGCCACGCCAGGATGACCAACCTTTCCCTGCCCTGAACCCTCCGACGTGGGGCCCGACGCCCCTCCCCACCACAGGTGCCGTCAGCACAGGCCTGCCCAGTCTGTTTATGCGACCTGTCGCTGGAGGCTACTGCACTGTTCCCCTGGCCCATATGCCGTCACAGCATGCACCTTGGATGCGTAGCACACTTGGTCGCCAATGTTCCCGATTTGCGGTGCCCCTCGTGTCGTGCCTGCTTTGGGCACGGGGGCCTTCCAGGCTGCTTGCCAATCACAGCGTGTGTCCCCACCACCTCCCGCACCCGACCCTGACAACACCTCCCGGGACGCGGCCTGGGAAGAATTGCCAAACCGCCATATGCACTGGGCCCCTGTGTTCGACTCGGACCGGCCCCACTGCCCCTCAACGGCCCTCCCGCATCCGTCGTGCACGCCCTCCATGTCCTCCAGCAGCTGTTGCTCGAGAGGGCCGGCCCGTGCCGCTCCCCGAGGCCCAGCTCCTCCTCAGCCTGAGCGGGTGCCTCGAGCGCGTTGCCGGCAAACGCGTCCGTTCATCTGCTACGGGCATGGACATTGGTAGTACAGCCGGATGGCTACATCCACGCCACGGTGCAGGAGGCGTTGTTGCATGTGTTTTACGGTGAATTGCTGCATCCGAATTCGTGCAACAGGCGGGCGCCCCCCCTGCTGCCGCTCCAGGGCATCCCCCTGCGCCGCCAGCACCAACCTTTGTAGGCGCTCCAAGCTCCCCTTCCAGCTCTTCCATGCTCTTCCTCGACATCTTATTCCGCCTGCCCTGACCCAAACGAGCCCCCCGCGCCAACTGACGCTTCCCGCAGCTCCACCTCCAGTAGCTCAGCTCCCGGTGCCCGACTCCCAGCCCCCCGCCTGGGCGCCCGACACGCCAGTTGAGCTCGACCCCCGTGCCCTGCTCGCAAACTTGCGGCGGTCGAGGCGGGGAGCAGCCCTGGTCCCAGCGGCCTCACCGCCGAGATCGCGCGGCTCGTGCTCGACGACCCTGCCACTGCCAGAGCCTTTCAGGAAGCCGCCTCACAGCTTGCCCGAGCCCAGCTTCCCCCCAGCATAGCAGAAGCCATTGGCCGCCTGATCGCCGTCCGCAAGCCCAGCGGCGGGCTGCGAGGGCTTGTGGTCGGTGACTACTTGCGTCGGCTTGTCGCGTGCACACTCGCTCAGCAGTTCGGCCCCGCCTTTGACCGGGCACCACCCGCGCGGGGGCTGAGGCCCTGGCTCACACCATCCAAGCCGCGTGTGAGCTCGACCCTGCCCTGACAGTCTTGTCGGTCGATGGCGTTGGTGCGTATGATTTCATCAGCCAACAAGTTGCCAGCAAGCGATGTTGTCGCAGTTTATCCCCTCGCCAAACCGCGTCGCCCAGCGAATGCCCGGGGGCGGGGGGCCCGCTTCGGCCGCATAGACCCGGGTTTTGCCAAGGTTGGACGCGATGCCGCAGTGGTTTGCCACGGCCTCGGTTGTGCTGTCAAAGGCCGCTCGGGCTCTTTTTTTCCAATGCTCTATTACTCCTGCCCACTTTGTGTCCGGTCAGTGAGGGGTCCTACGGAGCCTACGAGGCCCTTTCCGGCACCGTGTCGATGTAGAGGTCGTCAGGGAAAACCATGAGGGCATCAGTGGGATTTAGCGCGGCTGCGGGCCGGCAAAGAACCTCATGCTGTCCGAGTGCGAACAGCGCCGGGGCGAGGGCGTCGCCTTGCTCACAACCCTCGCCTTGCGGCACGTCCCTGCACTTGCCCGCGGCATCCCACCGGCAGCACGACTGCTGGCCGTTTAACAGCCTCACGAACGAGCTGGCCAAAAAGGCCGCGCGGGACATAGAGTCATACGCGCTGCGGCCGTCGAGCGACACGAGCACAGCGTTGGGGCGTAAGGACAGGGCTGCGCGCGCGCGCGAGCGGCCAAGGCGTCAGTGCCTGCGCGCGCTTGCAGTGCGAACTGGTACGGGCGTGTGGCGTTGTCGAAAGTCTGGGCTCACTAGGCACTTCGCCGCTTCCGTTAGCCACTCCAGTGCTTCCGGGTCCTGCTACAGCAGCTTGAGGTGTACGGCCCTCATTCCCGAAAGGCCCGCCGCCCCGCCCCAGCGTGCTTCGCGTAGCAATGGCTTCGTAAATGGACGGATCGCGCCAAAGAGATCCGTGAGAATCCCGACCGACCAAGTGGGGAGCATGCCTACGACGCCAGGCACAACAATGATTGCTGAGGTCCTACAGCGGTGCGCACGCAAGGTGCAGGACTGCGTGCGCGCTGCGGTCAAACATTGCCGAACGCACCTCTGCCACTGCTGCGCCGCGGCGCGCCGCCTCTGCGCAGGCGGCTTGCTTGAAAGTTATCGCGGCGTACGCGATGCGCATCGCGGCATTGAATTACAAGCATGTTTCCGTGGCGATGGCGCGGCCTCCAGTGGTCCACTTGCGCCAGCACTCCCTGTCGAGCATCTACGCACTGCTGCGGGCGGGGACGTGGTTCACGCCGCAGCCGCAGGCCACCGGAGGGGCGGAGGGCGTTAGACGGGCAGGTGCCGAGGGGACCTGCACGGGCCCGGGACGTTGCGAGGGGGTCCCGACGACCCCCTCCCCATCCTCGGTGCAGCGGACGGGCTGTTGACAGCCCGCGGCAGCGAAGAAAGGCGCCCACGCCAGACGCGGTGGCGACGTCGCATGCACAAGCTATCACGGCCGGAGCAGTGGGCAGCGCTGGACGGCATCGAGCCCCCCCACCCCGTGCCGACGATCCTCCAGGAAGTCTCAGCATTCTTGATTTTTCGCCGTGCGCGGTCACTAGCGCAGGCGCTGCAGGCCCTCCACGGGCATGAAGGCGGACAGGTGCTCTTGGGGCGCACGCAGGCCTTCCAGCGTGGAGCTTGGCTGCAGCTTCTGCTGCAGGCTCGTGTTGGCCGTGTTTCGCTGCCGAACTGTGGTGCCGAGGACGCTGCGGACGCTGAGCGGCGCCGACACGTCGCTTGTGCCAAGATACGACACGGGAAGTTTCTCGCGCTCGCCATGGTTTAATTTCTGTCGCGAGGCCTCCGGCGCCACATCGGCCGCTGCCCACGACATCCAGTCCGACGAGCTCCCGCACCTCACCACAGCGGCCGTGGCGGAAACTCTGCGCGACACGCACTGCGGCAGCGCGCCAGGGCTCAGCGGCATGCATGCGGTCTGAATATTTATTTTAAAGTCTTGCTGCCCCTCCTCGAATGGCTGGCGCACGCTGCTACATCCCTCGCCAGGGCTGAGCTGCCCTACGCGAGGCCAGGCAAATTTTCTCGTGCTAAGAAGCAAAGATGAAGCGCATCGAAGTATGTGTGATGTGTACGTACAGCTCACAACATGGCTGCGGCAAGCTAGCGCGGAGCACGTGCTTTTCAAGCAAAGTGTGCCTCTTCTCCGGGGAACTGGAGGAAACAGCTGCAGAGCTTCATCCTGTACATTCTGATAACGTCATGGAAAAAATCTCCGAAGAGCAAGCATCAGCTACAATCGAGCTGCGGTGGCCGTCTATACAAGCTTCAAATTGTCCACCGCAATGTCGCTGCTCCAAGAAGACCCAGTGACAGCGCGGAAGCGAAGCTTCGTGGTTGCCCGGGGTAGTTGGACTGATACGGATTTCCAGTTACTGCCTTGGTTGCCAGACTTTGACCACAGGCTCTTCCACTGCGAACCGCCTTCAAGCCTTTCCAAGTTGAGACTTCCCATGGAGCTTCCGAACATGTGCAAGCCAAACTCAAAGGTCATGTCCTGGCATTTCCAAGGCAAAAGGCGCCCATCTTCTGGCGGTTATGAGGTTGGGGAAAACAAGGAACTCACCCAACACAAAACAAACGGAACGTGCTGCTATTCAGGGGCAGCGTCTTTGTTGAGAATGAAGGAAGGCGACTGGAGTATGAATTCTTTATACGGGTAATTGGGGTGGCTGGCTTCCACGTAGATGTACCAGTTGGACCGTGAGGCTCCGGTGTGAGGCCCCGTGTTGCTGCTGGGAGTTCTCCCGCTGTTCCTCCTCCACGTGTATGTTCCGGAAGAAGTCCAACCACAAAGGTCCGACCCAAAATTGCAGCTTATGCGGTCGACAACCGGTTCCACTGCAGAGACGACTGTGTCGAATAGTTTGGGCTCGATGCCATCAGCAGCATTGAGGAATGCCCCCCTCATTTCGGCGTCTGAACGCAGCTTGTCGGCAACATGGGTGTCGATGTAAGTGTCCAGCACGGCTGGAGTACACTTGCCGGGAAACTTGCCTGCACAATCGTTGTGGCTGCCACTGTAACTTGGGCTAACGGCGCTTGTCTTTGAGCAGCCCATGATTTTGCAGATATCTCGGCCGGCTGAAGTGCAGCCTTTTTGGGAGAGTATGCATTTGCTACTCCAGCGAACCCTTAGGTACTTCTTCTCATGTTTGTTCTTCCATCCCAAATCACCTTCCAGTTGCTGTCTCTGCGCTGCAACCTGCAAAGGAAGATGAGCTTTGTACCATTCTCGGTACGAACTGCCCGCTCCACCATCACCATCGTAGAGAACTTTCAGGCGTTTGTAGGCCGCATCCTTGTTGTCCACCTCATCATGGGACGCAATGTCAAGTATGAGTGCCGTTTGCAGGGTCAGGACTTGGTCAAGAATCGGAACCATGACACGTGACCAGGCAAGTGAGGCGTCTCGATTCTCACTCTGGCCAAACTTGCCCCGTCGTATCTTCGTTGAAATCTTGGCGACGTCGTGCTGCAACATGAGACCGTATGTCAGCCATGTCCCTGGCGAAGCTTTGCTAGTATCCAGCATTCCCGGCACCCAGTCCATTTCATCTAGGAGGGCTTGCAGGTCCGAAATTCGATCGCCCACTTGAAGTCGCACTTCTTGCATCGCCATCATATCCTGTTTTTGATTTGGCTCAAGCAGGCGTGCACAACTGCTTATGTGAGAGCTTAGTCACTACCCTCGGACCAGAACAACAGCAGCCTACAAAGATGCCCCGTGCAGAGCGAAGGTCTTGGACCTCTTCCATGATCTTCTCATAAAGCTTTCGGAACTGGTCGTCTTGGGAAGGACCTATACCCAGCAAGCCGCCCACCAATGAGAAGAACACGGTCGCAGCGAAGGCCACAGGGCCTCCTAGCATTGGCAGCGCAGGAATCACAGCTCCAAGAAAGTCGTTAGCCTTGGCAGCTGATTCCTGCCAGTCATCACCTTTTTTCCAGTGGAAGCTCAACTTGGCCACACTTCCAAGCTCGCGAGTAAGCGGTTTGTCAAGAGCCAAGGACGCTCGTTGCTACTTGCCGGTGCTGCTCAGTTTTGTCGGGCTAGCCGTTCCTGCGCTCAACGCTGAACGACGCTGAATCCAGTAAGAGACACGTGACGTTAAAGACAAGAATTGGGGAAAGATGCTCCAAGATGACTTTGGCCTGCCCCGCCTTTATGCACAACCTCCGTCAACTCCAAGGCCACCTTCTTGATGTGCGCCTTTGCGTGAAACTCTTTCCATTCCAATCCTGCCAAATGAGCTGCCTGGAGAAGACAGCTAGAATTTGTCAGAGCTTTGTGCATGTTGGAAGTGATCAAGCCTCTGGTGAGAGCAAGCCTTGCGACTGATTCTGCAGACAGCTCTTCTTTTGCATAGGCCAAGTCGGTGTCTGTTGAGCCCACTTTGTAGCTCACTGAACCTACCACCAAACAGGAGCACAGGAGCTTGTAGATGCTCGCAGCCATGATTGTGGGACGGCTCACTGTGCTGTGGATTGAGCACAACGTGCTGCGAATCTGTTTTTCACTGGATGCGTTGGACATGCTGCCAGGAAGCGACTTCCGAGGCAACACATGAGAATTACCAACTGCAGGCATAACAGCAGGCGCGCTCTTACACCAATCTTGAATGTTCAGGCCAGTTTTTTGCCCGCATCTGCGTGCATCTGAGTCAGCACCCCATCGACCTGAGACTCAACTTTCTGCCTGCTTGCTATCGAAGTTGTACGCGACAAACACTTGGAAAAGCAAGCGCAGCGCTCGCTCGCAGGCATGCTCTGGGCTTGGTTCCTGATGTTCGGCATGAAGGACTGAAGCGGTGGTGAGAAAAAAAACCAAAATCCGAAACTAAGCTCCAAGCGCGCCGGGCCCATTCAGCACCTGCACGGCACAGATCTTCGGCATACAGCGGATGAATCAGACCCACACACACGCTGTCATGCAACAGCACCCGACAGCGGACGTCACTGGCATGCAGCTGGCCGATGCCAAGCTTGGGAGGACATTTGAGGACATGCAAGATCACAGACTCGGCCATGGCGCAGTAAACAAAGGAAAGCAAAACAGCCGCACCCGGCAAATGTTCGCCGAAAGCGGCTCGTGCAAGCACCTTCTCTGTGTATCCGAAAACCTTCTCTGTGCATCCGAAAAGACAGAGACAGCCAGACAGACAGAGAAAGAGATACAAAAAAAGAAAGAGAGAGAGCGAGAAAGAAAGAAAGAAAGAAAGTCAGACAGACAGCCAGACAGATAGCAAGAGCGGAGGAGCGTGAGAGAGGGATCGAGACGTAGGAGCGGCCAGAAAAAACACACACACACACACACACAAAAAAAAAAAAAAAAACACACACACACACACACACACATTGCTTTGACAATGCTGAAGCTTCATGTCGCCGTGCGCCTGCTCAGCAGCGGGACACACCAAAGCCTCCGAGCCAGGACAAAACTACAGGTCCTATAGCTCTTGGGCTCGTGATGGGAAAGGAGGAGACTGAGAGGAAAGAGGGAGAGAGAGAGAGAGAGAGAGATGTTTAAAAAACCAAACAAACAAAGAGAGAGGGAGAGAGAGGGAGAGAGAGAGAGAGAACAATTCCCCGATACTTCCTCGCACAAGAGCTGTCTGCCGCGGCTGCGGAGAATGAACCTTGATGGATGTGCAGACACAGGAAAGGGCCGGGCCACCAGCACAAAAGATCACGACGTGTACACCACTTTCGGACCTAACTTGCCAAGTTGTGAACTGATTGCTCATGACACCATCCTGGTTGAAGCGGACCTGAAGCTGTGTTCGACAAACTCGTGTAATCCGCATCGGTACGACATATCTGCATCATATGACCCTGGCCTTTACCGCCCTGGACTCCTTGGCAGCTTTGAGGCAACCAGCCAGGACGCTGCTCAGCAGATAGCTGCGCAGCAGATAGCTCACAGCATTTGTCAAATGAAGGTGACGTGGAACATGCTCTTGCTTGCTGCTACGTGCGACCGTTGCAGTGAGGAGCAAGCTTGCTCGGACACGCTTTTCCAATCTGCGACCAGTAGCCCGTCATGGCACCGGCTTGGTTTTTCATGCTCCCCGCCCCACTGTTGAAAGCATACAGTGAACAAAAACGTTTGTTAATCCAGGACGAACATGGAGAACAACAGAAGGGAAAAGAGCCAATTCTTGGCCACAGTCTTTCTATTGAGCCAGCGGGCACACATTGCCCGCAACCCGATTGCAGAGACTCAGTCTGCAGGTTTTCTCTATCAGGATGCTCATGAGTCTGTTGGCCTGCGAACTATCTGCACAGCACTCATGCGCTTGAGCGCAAATTCGATGGAGTGACAAAACTCGCAGCCTACTGGACATCGTGGAATCCCGTATGGCGGGGCATGGCGAAGGTCGATTGAGCATGTGTCCTACTTGAAGACAGTGGACGAGAACTGAAATACATCTTCTGATGCCACACCAACCCACTCGCGCAGGCAGGCATTCTTGGAATCCATCTGCGGCGAGGTGCAGCGACGACAGCTTGCAACACGAACCCCAAAAACAACTGTTCTTGCCTTCCTTCCCAATCACATTTCTGCCGCTGTCAGAGCCCTCCCAAAAGCGGCGGAAGTCTCGGCACTGTGAGTGCCTCACAGCTCCGCCTGGCATGCGGCTGCAATGCATTCAGCTGGGCAAATGAACAGGTGTGCCGAAAGCCCATGACTCTTTCACTCACGTCAACACATGTCATCACTCTTCCGGCATCTTCCGGCTCTCAGCGTCTGGGCCTTCTTGCCAGCCGCAGCCTCACGCTGTGCCCAGGCTGGCAGCTTCTGGCCAGGAACCATCGTGAAGCGCGCATCGCCTCCTGGATATCGGCTTCGAGTTCTGGAAGGTTCAAAATCTGGTCACAACAGAATGGCACCTAGCACTTTATCCAAGAGCTTCTCGATGCCCTGCACGTCGCCCTTCACCTGAAGAACAGCTTGGAAGCAGCGCTTTCACAGGGCTGCGCCACGCCAGATCGGCCTCACCCTCCTCACCATGATCCAGCAGAGTAAAGCGAAGCCTGCAAGTCTTTGTGATCACCAAACATACCCCCTCAACAAACGTCTTGACCCCCACGCGCCTTTTGTGAGGATTGAAGACCGCAGCGGATGGAAGCTGCGCAGGTTTGAACAAGTCCTGTACAAATCAAAGGGGCCGTTGCACAAAGGCAGAGGCGAACCGGTAAAATCATCAACCCAGTCCTTGTAGGCCTTCTCAACATTCAAATTCATCCACATCCTGAGACAAAATGATGCAAAGGAAAGAGTTCCAAACATGAAGCCATGGCTGCGAGCCCTATGCTTTCTATCTTTAGGCAAGCATCCACTTCATCTTGGCACCGCGGTCACTGAGCTGCGATGTGTATTTTTTGGACAGACCTTCTCTCAAGCAAAGCGAAATCACTGCACCTACCACCTGCACCAAGCCGTGAGGGTATCAACGCAATGAATGCAGAAGCAAAACAGCTGCGCTCGAACAAGAAGAAGTACAATGCCAGCTCGGCCTGTGAGCATGTCAATCTCAGCCTGGGAAGCTTCACCATCCTCGCCAAAGCAGCAGCTCCAATTGCAACCGATTTCCTGGTTGTACCTTCCTGATCCCAGCATGTTCATCCACCGGCCTTCAGGAAGATGACGCAGAGACCCTCGCCTTTGAAGCACACGTCCTGGAGCTGAGCTGAGATGCTGAGGACTCTGTCATGTTGTTGATGATGATGTTGATGATGATGATGATGCGCTCAATGCGAGAGCCGCGACACGGGGGGGGGGGTTCACACGGCCTGGTGAGACTTCACGGTGAGTTCCGGCACTTCCTGCACCAACCAAGGCTTTGCCTCCTGACAATACATATGCGAAAACACTCAAAAAGGTCAAATGATTCCAGCGATTCCAGTGATTCAAGTGCTTCAACAGTCCGTGCCACCAACCAGCTCCCAGTTGCTCCTCGGCGGTCTCTTCTTTGGCACCTCCGGGGCTTGTGACTTTATCGCCTCAGGTCAGGATTCGGTCAGGCCTCAGCAGGAAACGCGGCTTGGCTCTGCTGAGTGCCAGGCCCATGCCGGATTCAGAGTGCAGATTCACCCAGTCTTTCAAAGCCAAGAAGTTGAACTCTCCGGGATACGTGTCCTGTACAGAACTTGTGTTGTCATGTCTGATACCTAGTAACTTACACAACGTGCCGAAGCACCTTCTTCTCGCCTTTCGCTCCCTGTTGTATGAGAACCTGAGAAGGCACATCTGGGCGCGTCTGGACGCATCGAGGCCGAATCGAGGCACCCCTAAGCGCATCTGTTCAAAGCCGTGTTGACTCGGCGAATGCCCAAATCAGGTACCGAGATCCGAACGGTGGGAAATTTCTTGACCTGTCGGAACTCAGGTCAGCGTAAAAGAGCTGCAAAATAAACAGCTCTGATCACACAAACTTGGTTCAACATGGAAGCATGCAGCTACAAGTGGTTTTCCTGCCTTGAACCGCTGGACAATGTCCGACTGGTCCTCTGTCACAAAGCCAAACTTGACCGTTCGTTTGAACACCTCAGTTTTGTTCACAAAGCTATCTGCCAAGGAGTGCTTCGTCGAATTCAGTGCGAAAAGGTGCGAAAAGTGTTTTTCAGCAAAGGAGCCGTCTCCGAGGAAAGCGCCTGTCACCACATGCGGAAGTACCCACAATACTTTTACTCGGTAAGCGGTACGACCGGTACGACCGTTACGACCGGTACGAGTGTAACATGCAACGGCGCGATCCTTCCACATGAGGGGGACGGACTTCTTGTTGGAGAATAGAAGCGCCTGCACATTTTTGGAAGTTGATCTTAACATGCCTCTCCATCTCATGTGCACGACTCTGGGTACCATTTACCCTCAAGATGCCTTTGGCTTTGTCACGTCTGTTGTGAGAAACTTGTCGACGTTATCCTCTTCACAGGATCTCATGTGCACACGAACATGAATCGACTGAAGGGGCCACCAACACGCACGAACGAGCCACGCCACCTTTGTGAGCTTTTCCGTCTGGTCGGGCATGAACTTCGCAAGCTTGTTAAACACAGCCTCTCGCAAAAAAGCGTGCCGGGGGCAGTACATTGAGCGTGCTACGCGGGTACGCCCAGCCTTGCCCTCCAACTTGCCTTCTAATTTGAAGGCAGGCACCGGGTTTGGAGGATAGATCATGACAGTCGGAGTCTCCTGCTTCCGCACTCCGTATCATACAACTGAACAAACTATCGCAATCACAGGCAGCCAAAGCATCACAGAGCCTTGACCCCCTGCTTGTCGCAAAACACGGAGTACCTCGTCAGTGTTCGGGGGGGCTTCCTGCAAGTTGCAAAGTTCTGAACCAAGGCCGGCAACAGCACTTACGATAGCTCAATACAGCTCAATACAGCTCAATAAAGCTCAGCTTATCTCTATACAATTTCATGAAGTATAAACAAAATGATGAATTGTTTGCGTTGCTTTGGCGCGCACTCTTTGCAGTTGATGGCACAAACTTTGGCCATGCCTTTCATGTCGCTGGCAACCTGCTTTCATCACACAGCACGACTGCGCAGCCCCACGTGGCACCCTACATGTCAACACCTTGTTGTACTCATCCAGAAACTTCCCATCTTCCTTGCTGTCGTCCTTGAAGAACCACAAACCTCCAGCAAGAAGGGCTGACGCAAGCATCCGAACATGCTCAACTTAGGATGCTGCTGCTCACGGAGCTGTCTCTGAACTTGGAAATGATGCCGTCGAATGTGGATGCCTCGCAGCCGCGGTAACAGAGTTCAACACAGTTGAAATCAGTGTAACCAAGGTAACCCGACTTGCCTGGATCTGCATGATGTCATGTTCCATGGCCTGCAGGTCCGCACAAGCAAATGTCGAAAGCTCTGCGCGGCAGTTGAAGAAAATGTTGCCTCTATCACCACTTTGCCCGTCACAAGGCTCGGCACCGCGGCCGCAAGGAGCCAACGACTCATGGTGAACCTCATGGCACAGTACGGCAACAGTACGGCAACGCTCATGCCCAAACGTGCAAACGTGCTGAGGGACGAATGGTTGAGGGCGAGACTAGGTATGCTCGGCGTCCACGGCACCAAAAAATGCACAACCCGGCGACTGACCCGAGCCAAAAATCAATGCTGTCATTGACACATTGAAACAAGCATTAACTCAATACGTCCATGCACTGTTTAGGGCTTAGGGGTTTAACAATCACGAGGTAGCTGCCGTGGCCTGTGGGTGATTTCTCCGACCTGGAACTCGGGTCATGCAATCTTTCTGGTGGCAAGGTCTGGCAATGCAGCTGCACAAATTGGGCCACAACTGCTTGTTCTGACAGTTCAACCTCTTCCAAACTGCCATGCGCCAACTCCACCTGCGCGATTTTTGTGCTGCCCCCCCCCCCCCCCAGTTTCAATGTTTACAACTTACAAAAACGACGACGCCATTCATGTGGGTCAGGCAGCCTCGGCATCGCTGCCAATGGTGCAAGCCCTCAATGTCACAGCAGAAGCTTCGGGTGACCCTGCCTAACACGACATGACAGACCGAAACAAGCTCTTTCAGACGAGTTTTAACAAGAGCATTGAGAGCCTGCGTACGGAACGTCACTTTCATGACCTTCCAACCAAAGTTCCATGACAGGGCTCCTGGATCCGAAAAGCTGGGACGCAAACAACATCCGGCGCGTCGAGCTCTTGAAACTCGCTGAGTGCGGCATACCACACCTGTCGACGTCCAATGCGCTCAAGGCTTCGTCTTGCTTCGTCTTGCTGTGTTTGCTGCTCATCCTCCCACCTGTCTTTCCTGCTCTTTGCCGTGACCATTCTGCAAAGACCATCTATTTCTCCGTGCCTCCGCCTGCTTGGCTCGAAAGGAGCTTGGCCTTGGGCATTCAGCAGCAGTCAAAACGCATCACCGCGCGCGCGCTTGCACCATCTGGCACCTTTCCCCTGGCGACAAAAAAGCCGGGGTAGGCTCTGGTACCTCGGCCACATGTTTCAGACAGACCTTACTGCTGATATCTGCTGATGCCAACACATGACGAGAGCATTACCTCGTCTAGGACCAGGGTCTTCAGTCGACACTCGGTCAGTGCACCGTCTTCCTGGGCAAGAGCGAAGTCGCACAGCTCGTATAATCACATCAACCTCCTGCGCAATTCTCGTCACGGTGAGCCTGCAGCGAGAGTTGGAGCTCGTGGGCGCCTTCCGGATACCTAGACGATGGAGCATGATGGAGCTCGGTTGCTGCTTCATGGCCAACAGCCGTCATCTACGAGGCTGCCGGCGGGCAAAGTCATGCAGTCATTTTTGCGAAATCTGGTTGCGTCAGGCTCCGGCAGTCTTTGCCAGTGCCGACACAATGCATTAGCAGGGCTCGAACACTGAACCCTCATCTTTGTACACTTCGGAGAGCCCATCATGATGTTCATGATGCGGCAAGTGGCCACTTCAAAGGAGCCGCCCAGACTCGTCTTGCATCTCAGCACCAAGATGCATCCGAGGCATGTCTACAGAACTGCCCATGCGGTCAATCCACCAGGAAGGCCTACCAGGGAGCAGATGAGCTACGGAAGCAGTGAAGCGTAACTCGGTTGTCACAGCCATTGAAGGGACCAGCGGACCTCAGCGCGCTCCCTGGTAGCACTTCAATCGTGGCTCGTCCCCCTTCGCCACCAATGCGGCTTAGCGCCTGCGAGTCCACTTCCAGCACAGGAACAAGCAAAGGATTGGGTCCTGGCCGGTCACAATCACATCAGTCTCAATGCTAAGGCACTAGTTAAGCAACTGCCAAAGACATTGGCAAAAGGTCGCCGGCACAAGTGCACGTGCATGCGGAGCGGAGTCCTGCTGATCTCATAAAATTGGAAAGGGCAATGCCAGACTTGAGGTCTTGCTTTAAGACTTCTTCGAACCTCCACCTTCTTAAAAACTGCCTGCGCTGCAAGAACTGCGTTGCAATCATCGGTTGGATCGCCTTTGGAGAACCCAACGCCTCGCATCTCTCTCTCTCTCTCTCACAGAGCGCGCCCATGTATGCAATTGATTATTCAGGGCCAACTAACCCTCACACCAAAAAGACGACAGGCGAAAGTACCAACATGCTCGGCCGCGCTTGAAAAACCGGTAGCTTCACTTTAAATGGGCCGTGCGTCGTCCCAAGCCGTGCCCTGGACCTCCTCCTCCTCGTCCATGTCCTCACATCCAAAAGGCATTGTGAAGCCTGCATCCACCGCGACACTCAGAGTCTTCTGTGAAGGCTCGACGATCGCGAGCAGGAAGATGTCAAGCAGTCCACCAGGTTGCCACTTCTCGGGCATCTCGTTTTGTGAGATGGCCCCAAGCAGCTGGTCTTGTCTGAGCCAGACGATCTCCGATAAAACAGATGGCGTTGTGTGCGGCAAGGTCTCCCCGCTGGGTAAGGGGATAACGAACTGCTTATCAAAAATACTCGCTGGCTGCCCCACACTTGTGGGGCGGACAGATGAAAAGGCGGGATTGCTGAAGATGCCCACTCCAAGCCTGAAAGCCCCTGAAAATGCCTCCGCGACATCTTTTGTGTCAAGAGCCTCCGTTGCCTCGTGTGGAGCCACCCGCTCCACTAGAACTCGAAACCTGGCTGCTCAATCATCCATATAGAGATATTGATGTACATACATGTACATAGATGTACATACTTGGCTGCACTTAGCAGGGTAGCTATAAATTTAGTTTTTAAATTTTAGCTGCCGTGTTAAGAAACCCAATAAACCCAAAAAGGCTAAGGATCTAAAGTTACAGTAAAGCACCACAGAGCATGGATGCACATCTGCTGCTGTGTTGCGGCCGCAATATGTAGTCTCATACAAGTAGCAAGAACTCATGCCGCCCTGCGGTGACCGCACGCGCCGCTATCAAATGGACAAGAGAACCTTAGCTGCACGCGCAAAGGCGCTCTCGGAGATCCCAAGAGATCAGGTTCATCTCCCTGGGCCAAACAGCTCCCATGGGTTCGGGCGAAGAGTTTATAAGGTTCATGGAATTTATAGGGTTCATACGGTTCATATTTTCCAAGGGTTCATGGATGTTCATGGATGTTCATGGGGTTCCTAGGGTCTAGAGGGTTTATCGGGGCCGTTTCAGTCAAGGCACCCGTCGCTGTTTCTCCATCCGAGTCCTCGACGGCCTCCGTGTTAGACAGCGCCGACTCTGCACCCGCCGATTGCGCGGAGGTAGCTGAGATTCCCCTCATGAAGTCCCCGGCCCTTACTGGTACAGAGACTGGGACAGAGCATGAACTCATCGAAGCAACAGACCGAGACAAGCACAAAGTGCAAACTGCACTGCTTTTGCTAAAGGCTTGTCTAATTTCACAGAGACGCCGAGGCTATGCGGCTTGTGTCAACGACACTTTATTTCTATCTTTTGACATTCCTTGATGTCCCTATGTCTTTCCTTATTTCTTAACCTTGCCGAAGGAGGCCGACCGAAGGCATGCTCTCTCTCGCTCTTTCTCCTTCTTCTTCTTCTACTCCTTCTTCTTGTTCTTGTTCTTCTTATTATTCTTCTTCTCCTCCTCCTTCTTCTTGTTCTTCTTCTCCTTCTAATTCTTCTACTTATTCTTCTAATTCTTCTTCTTCTTCTTCTTCTTCTTCTTCTTCTTCTTCTTCTTCTTCTTCTTCTTCTTCTTCTTCTTCTTCTTCTTCTTCTTCTTCTTCTTCTTCTTCTTCTTCTTCTTCTTCTTCTTCTTCTTCTTCTTCTTCTTCTTCTTCTTCTTCTTCTTCTTCTTCTTCTTCTTCTTCTTCTTCTTCTTCTTCTTCTTCTTCTTCTTCTTCTTCTTCTTCTTCTTCTTCTTCTTCTTCTTCTTCTTCTTCTTCTTCTTCTTCTTCTTCTTGCGCGCCTCTCTCGCCCTGTCGCTTTCTCGGGGTCAACGAACCACTCGTCCCAAGAAAACTCCGCAGCACACCAAAGGCAAGATCTCAGAAGACTTTCGAAACCTAACTGCACCCAGCGGCAGATGCAGAATCTCGGCCGTTGCCGTTAGCCTGGCAACGCAAACAATGACCAGGGGCTTTGCGCACGTTCTTTGCTGGCTTGCCCGCAACGAAATAAGAATTTGAAAATTTGGAAAGAACCACGAGCTCTGGAGGTGTAGCTGCCGATTGTTCAGTGCACTCGGAGGTCCCAGGCTCTTCTCGGATCAGGTTCCATTGTTGCACCCCAGCTTGAGTTGTTTTGGCACTCTGGGTGATTTGCAAAGGAATCCTCAGTCGCTAGAGCGTCGGTACCGACATCGCACTGGGGGGTAACGGGGTTTCGGGTACCTATTTCGGGAGACTGACCAGAGGCTCATGTCCAAGGGCAAGATGGAGTGTCATAATGCACCGTACGCCATACGTAGCGCCTCGGCCTTCCCCCACGTTTGAAGCAGGTGTGTCTGCAATATGTCTTGAAACAGTTTGTTGCTTCCCGGCCCAAACAAAACATAAAATCGAAACAGGTCCGGGTGCCCTCCGCGCAGCCTCCCCTAGGGGTTACTGTGCTACAGCACCTGGCAGAGATTATTGGCAAGCTGCAGTCCAAATGGATGTTGCACTCGAGCACCAGAAATGTTTGCTGCTTTGTCCCCAACACTGTGTCAACACGAGGGGTTGTTCCACTAAGAGTGAACGGGTCTTAGATTGATTTGCGCGCGCGGAGTGCGATATGCGGACGTCATTCCTCGAGCAGCGCTCGCATTTTGGACGACAATCGCACCTGTTTCCACTGTGCGACGGAAGTCTTACGGGGGGCCTTTTGCAAAACCGCAAGCTGCTTTTGGCTTCGTGGATGGTGTCGAGTCGCGCTCTCGAGAGGCCCCGCGCACGCAGTGTCTGGGTGTTTGGAAGTTTGGAGCGGGGGGGGGGAGATCGTGCTCTCCGCCTAAGCACCACTTTTCGCGGCTTGCATCGCTCTGCGTCCTGAAAACGGTTCCCTGCATTTTCGCGATGTTGGAAAAACGGTTCCCTGCATTTTCGCGATGTTGGAAATCGTGCTCCCGCCTAGGCGCCGCGCGTATCGACGTCGCCATCCTCGCTCTCCTGGCGATCTCCTGGTGTGCTGGTCTCTTCGTGCTCTGCCGCTGGGGCTGCTCCTCATCGTTTTCCTTGTGTCTGGAGAGCTTGACATGCTCTTCCAGCCCCATCTGGTCTCTCACTGTTTGGGCTCTACGATGGTCTACGCTGGCATACTCTCATTTCTGCAGCGACAAGCAAGACGAGCACCGCAATGATACTCCTGGAACCGCGTCCCAGCCTCCTCTCCTGATTTTTGGTGTCGTCGGTGCAGTGGTGCGGAACTTGTCCTGCTTACAGCATTGACCGTCGGTGATTTGCACTGTGCTCCATAAGCTGCACTCTGAAACAGAGGAGCAATAACAAGCAAACCCATTCCTTTGGATGGATGCTGTCGGGTCAGGAAAGAACTCGCTGAAATTTCCGACAAGACTACAACAATCCTCGTACGAGTTTGGCTCTGGTTCCCTACAGTACAAACTCCTTGGTAGTTTTGAACAGCAACACCATGCAACACCTTCAAGCGGCAGCATGGATCCCGGTCGCGTGCAGCCAAGAAGCGACACTGCATAATTATCGCTCCATTCTCAAGCGCCACCCTCGCAAAATGCCGATCCAAGGCATGCTGGGGAATAGCAAAGCAAGTGTGGAAGCAGCGCCGCCGGACCATCCACGGACAACTTGGGGTCACATAGGCTAGCCGCTTGCCTGCCAGCCTGGGCGAAAAAGCATCTCAAAAACACGCGATGGGTGAACCCGGATTCCAAGAAACGGTTTCGCTCAATGTCACACAGCGTTACCGTCTGGGCTGGGCGCTTCTTTGCCGCTTTAAGCTCCTCAAAGCCTTCTTGGTCATCCTTCTGTGCAGATTTTTCCTCGAGCGGGCGGTAGTGCGTGTGCTCAAATCCGAAACGGACGTCCACTGCATCGCACATGGCGCTGGTTCCTTGGCAAACGGGGACTTATTCCAACTGTTCTTGACAAAGCCTGCGATATCCGGCGATGGAGTCAGGCACGGCGCCCTGAAGGAAAGCATCGATTGCACTGGTGGACGCCTCCAGCTGCACTGACCTGAAACAACTTCAGGGACTAGGGGCCGCTGAAAGGCCTGAAAATTTCACCCGAAACCTGAACTCAACCAAAGGAGGGGACTGTGTGCGCCATTCGGTGGTATCAGGAGCCACTGGCACGGAGCTGCCGAGTGGGACCCGAGCCTTGTTGGCAGTTGGGTGCTCGTGCGCTTTGCATGCTGGAAGAAGCTCTTTCTGCCAAGGAACTGAAAGGATAACTCGAATTGCATCACCTTGGCACCGCGATGCACTGCTGGCCGGCGATCTCGGCGAGAAGCGAGTTCCGAACGCCCGTCGGTCAAGCCATGTTTAAAACAACCAGATCCACCCCCCCTCCGCCCCCCCGCCCCTGCCCGATGCATCCGCGCTTCGTGTGTGTGCAAAATTTGAATGACAAAAACTCCACGAAGACAACAGGAGATGAAACACTAGACAATAGACATTGGGAGTGAGTCCGCTATTTTTGCTGGCAGGACTTGCAAATGGGGCCTGGTTTGTCAATTTAAAAGGCATTTGTGATTTTTCAATTGTGACCCAGCCACTCTGAAAACACATTTGCAGATTTCCTGATTTTTAGTGTTTTCAGGCTTTCACTTATTTAACACATGGCACACATTTTCAAAAATGCCCCAGATCTCTTTAATCTAAAGTTTGCAGATGGGTCCTTACTTGGGAGCAGATGGGTCCTTACTTGGGAATGGAGAGGGCATTGAAATCTTCAGATCTGCCCCTAAAGTCCTTAAATTGACAAGTGGGGCTATATGTGGGATTTGGAAGGTGCGTGAAAATTGTTCAATTGTGGGTAGGGGGCAGGGGTGCCGAGCAGTCCAAGCAGAGGCAGAGGGAGGTACACGCAACCCCCCCCAAGCGCAATGATGCTCATGATTCATGATGAGGTAGCGTGGCTTAGGGCAGGATTCAGGCTTGAGTTGCGTGTCACCCGCGAATGCGAGAAACCACAGGAAAGCCTGCACATTTTCGAATTGGGATCAGGCGCTCATTGCTCTGTCGGTGCTTTGCTGACCGTGGAGGGCTTCCTCGACCAGCTTTGACTTCCTCGGGCCTTCAAACGAAGATCGGGTCTTCCGCCTGTCCGGTCGCCGAGAACCTGACGCTGGCTCATGGCAAGGGAGCGGACTCAAGCTAAGATTCTTTGTTGAAACCCAAACCTCCACCTCTGTTACTTGCCGGGCTGCTCGACTTCTCAGGAGGTTTTTCTGCTTTGTCCGCACCTTCCTTTGGAACGTCGGGAAGCGCATCTTCTCGTCGGCTAGGCGCCTTCTCACCGCTGCTCGTCTCTCTGGCAGGCATCGGTGGTAACGTCACTCCTCCACCAACAGAAAAAATCATTGACATGTGAATGCTACTGACGTATGGAGCTGTGCAACAGCCGACGTCCTGCGGACGCACGCCAGCGGTCGGCATCGCTGATGAGGGATTCTGGGATGATGCGGTTAAACGCCAGTCTGTCCAAAAACCTTTAATGGCACAGCATGGCAACATGCACCACATGCACAAGCATGCACACACGTGCACACACACACACACACATGCACACATGCACACATGCACACATGCACACATGCACACATGCACACATGCACACATGCACACATGCACACATGCACACACACACACACACACACACACACACACACACACACACACACACACACACACACACACACACACACACACACACACACACACACACCCTCACACACACACACACACACACACACACACACACACACACACACACACACACACACACACACACACACACACACACACACACACACACATGTACACATGCACAGGAACATTCGAGAACAACGGAAACGCAGTGCCCCAGCAACTCAGCTATTGCACTTCTCCCGTATCCAAGCGACTCAGAGTGGACATGGCCCCATCGAACGCCCCATTTGGCTGATGCTGCATACACGCTTGCCGGTGCTTTCTCAGGCCGCGAGCCTTTTTTGGACCAGTTGACCCATGGTTGCCCTTTCAGCCAGGCTTCGACGACAAGGAAAAGCTCGGACTCCATGGAAACCACCCAGCCGTCGCTGTCCAGCAAAGCTCCAAGCGCCTCCAAGTCCAAACCCTGAACAGCCGCCGCCCCTGCATTTCCAGAGAACTTTCCTCCGCTGCTGGCCAGCGCCTGCCGACTCTGAACACGCTGCACTCAACTTGTACTCGTCCTCAAGCACACTCCAACGATCTCCAGTGCATTCAAACGCATCAAACGCACCCGTGTGCCCTCAAACAGCTCAGTGCTGTGCAGTGAGAGTGCATCCCTCATGCCTCGCAGCAGCACCTCATCTCCGCCTGGAGGTTGTGCGCATGCGTCAGCTTCAGCAATCCCCAGAGCATCTCCACGGATGCGCTCGCACACAACTTCATCAGCAGGCTCCTGCTCGAAGAGGGCCAAACAATCTAAACAAGCACACGAAAGCACACGAAAGCACACTGACTCAAGCGAATTATAGCGAAACGCACAAAAAACTGAAGGACGGTCCTGAGAGATGCCTCGACGCTATTCACACGCAGCTCCCTGGCAAGGCTCATGAGGGGCCACCAACCGCGGGAGCACAACTTCTTGAGATCAGCCATCGTCACCTCCAGGCAACATGTACAGCACATCTTGCATTCAGAGTATTAGCACCTGATGGGTGCCTTGAGAGGCACGCCATACAGCATAGTCATGAGGCCAGCAAAGGCACTTGGCTGTTCTTTCACTCCTTGGCAAGAGTCTCCAGAGCAGCATTAGCTTTTTCAACATTTTCATCATTTTGCCAACCATCGCCAATCTTCCGGGCGTCTGAGCTCAAACTCCATCAAAGAGGATCGGGCCTGACGCAGCTGCTGCCTTCGAGGCCGCTTTCCGTGCCTGAAATCTGCAAGCACCGCTTGATGTATCACGTATCTTCATGGCTAAGCCTCACCCCTCGCGAATCCTCGCGATTCCTCGCTGTTCCTCGCATTTCCTCGCGATGCCTCGATGGACTGGATGGAGGAGACGGCGTGAGCGACCTGTTGGCCTTAGAGGAGGAAGCTTCGACCCGTCGACCCGTCGACCCGTCGACCCTTCGACCCTTCGACCCTTCGCGCTTTGCAAGACGTTGCAAGACTGCGGGCGAGAGTGGTGCCAAGCCACATCTCTGCGAAAGGTCTTGCTTGATGCCCTGACCGTGTCAGGCTCTGTCCCATCCCCGTACCATCCCCACTATCTCTCTCTACGTATATGACTCATCTAAATGATCTAAAGAACTCCATTCTTCAAGAGCCCCTGTCCAGCGGCCTGAGCAGTGCAGCCTGAACGTCCGCCGCCTGCTCCGCGCAGCGCAGCTTGTAGCTCAGAAGCTGCGACGCCCCGGCCAGGATGTACTTGTGACACCTGAGAGAAGACTCTCTCACGTTGAGCTCTGCAATGTTCGCGCAACTGCGGGCGCACTGGGCGTAGTGGGAAACCGCAGCCTGGTGAAGCTGCCGGAAACCAACACGCCCGGAGGGACAAGGGATCATATGGCCCAAGGGAAGCGAGATGAGCACTCCGCTCGAGGCAGCAATAAACTACAGTGGCAGTCACGGTCTTCACCGTGAGTGCGAATCCCAAACAGCGGGTGAAGCGGGAAACCTTGGGGGGGCGGGGTGGGTTTGGGTACTTTAAACTGCGAATGGGTTCGTACCTCGAAGGCCTGACAAAGGGTGAGAAGCCAGAGTGAGCCCTGTGAGTGTTGATTTTGGGTAAATCCAGGACACAGGAAACGCCTATGGCTTGTATCAACAACATCAGAGGTTTTAGCAGCTAAGGTGCAGAAAAGCCTTGACTCTTTCCACTTGCATCTCCGCCCCCAGAATATCTGCTTGATCGCCATGCCTCACCTGCCCCCTTAGCTCCAGGCAAGAAGAAGCCTTGTAGCAGCTTGAAACTCTAGCCGACATTGGGACTGCATTCCTTTCTGTTGTCCTGCAGGAGGGGGGGTTGCTATGGATGATGCGCAGCCATGCAGCAAGCTGAAACGCGGTCTGGACGAAAATGCTGCTTCTGCATTCGTCTGTGTCTTCTCGCCCTCATCGGTTCCCGTCTTCTCTTCCAACACCCAAACTCGGACATCTGCTGATCCCAGCCAGGACCTCTGCGCAAGGTCCTCAGGCCGAAAGGGGCTGACCATGTGCTTCGACAAAAAGAGTCTACCCCCCACGATAGCCCACGAGCCAGTGTGATCCAACGTGCCTCGCCGGCTTTGTAACGTGACTTGAGACTTTGGATTTGCCTGGCAGTCTCTGAAAGCAGCACATGCTCTTCACTATCTTCACCTCCGCATTTACCCATGAGAATAACTTTGATTGGTATGCCGATAAATATGGCTTAGTTCCAAGCCTCGGGGGCGGTCGGGGTGGCTGCTGCGACTGCGGCCGAGCGATCCGAGGCATGTGCCTGGCAGCGGAGGCCAAGGTTGTAAAGGACAAGATGCCTGCGGCCCGACTTGTGCTTCAAGGTCACAGGTCATCTTGCCAGGGCTGCAGGGTCCTGGGCTGAGAGACCAGCATGCCAAAAACGTGAAGCAAGCAAAATGCCAAGCATGAAGCTGTCGGTAACGCTCTTGACCTCGTGGCCTTCCTTCACTTCTTCACGTGATACTTTTTGTCCGACAGCAACCGACTGCGCCCAGTTGACACGTTCTGCTCTCCAGCGGCCCATAGCTCTCTGTTTTGTTTGTGGGCTTTTGCCCAGTCTTCCAGCAACATGCTCTCCCTCAGGCACCCGCCTTCCCCTTGGACGCACTCGGTTCAACATCCCAAAACCCCAGCTCTATGAGGATGTGTAAATGCTCCAAGCTTCCCGCTGGACACCCGAATTGCCGCGAGCTCGGCCAATGAAGACACATCATCATGGAGAGGGACAGTGCTTCGACTCAACATCAAAAGGCGAAAGCGAAAACGTCGCCATAGAGCCGAGATGCTTCAAGAACCCAGTCGTACAATATTGCAGGCGTCAACGCAAAGAGAACATGTTGATGTGCTATGCTTGACTGGTTGCATGGCGCAGTCATTAAATAAATTCTGAGGTTGCGAAGCATGCACGGGATTGCCCACCAGCCTGACCAGCCTGTCTTCTTTTGCTCTTTTGCCGCCGCAGGACGTACAACCGGCTAGAAACCTTCGCTTAGCGAAGCTCACCACCAGCTGCATGGCGAGTCACGATCTGGAAAACACGCCGGCTTCATGTCTACGGTATCCGAGCCAATGACTCACGGCGCAATGTATGCCTGGTGCACCAGTCACACACTGGTTGCTGCGCAGGACTCATTACTCGCTTGTACACTGCCCTGCGGCCGTCAGGCACGCACGTGAAACTAATTCCGGCCCCTCCCTACTTAAAGACTTCCTCATCTCGTCGCTGTGATCATCGAGTCTGTTATTGCTGCGGCTGTGCACGGAAACAGCCGCACAAAGAAGAGATCCTTAAGTGACGGTCTCAGTGGGGCCGAATCAGGTCAATTGTGCCAACAATCAGGGCAAGCGGTTAATTCGAACCCTATACATTCCCTATACTATACCCAGACACTTGCACTACTCTTGCACTACTCTTGCACTGTCAACAGGGGTGCTCTGATCGATCAAAGCATCAATCCTCGCCTGTCTCCTTGCGCAGCTGCCTCATTGGGAATGCGGACGTCGCTGGCTTCGTGGACCATACAATCGCCGAGGTTGTTTTTGGACGTCACTCTGCTGGCAGTGCCTTTGTGGAGGCTGCATGGCTTCAGGACTACGCAACGCAACGGCGCATGGCATAGCATGGCATAGCATGGCCATGACTGCGACCATGACCATATCATGTTCTTCCAAGGTTCGAAGACTCGTCCGGCCAGTTTCCGTGGCCACGACCCCTGTCGAGCTTGAAAGCAGCTGGCCTCCGGCACACAGACGTTGCAACACAAAAAATTCTGTTAAAACCCCAACCCCCAAATCTTACCCAAAAAAGCCTTCAAGCCTGAAACCGCTTTGAACGGATACAAAATCCTTACACATCATGCAGAAGTAAATCTGTTCATGTGTGTGTGCTCCGCGTTCCGAAGCCGGGGCACGTCTCGAGCGCTTGCCCGGCTTGAGGCCTCCAGGGGGCAACTTGCAAAAGGACAGGAAAGATTTCAATCACCGTGTCGAATCAGCTTCAGGGGGGCGGGGCGGTCACGTCATACCAATCCTCTCTCGACGCTGCCAACCATGACATCACAACATTTTGTTCTCTACAGTTACCGTGGGATACCCTGCACGTCCTGGACTCCAGGTGTGCGGCTATGCGACAAGGAGTTGACATGCGACCCCCCTCTTTGTGCAGTGTCTGCACCTACATCCAGGTGCAGACGCTCTCTTCTTGTCGTATACGGAATTTTCGTGAAGTACGTGTCCAGGGCTTCTATCTCCAGGGTTTTGATGTCAGGGTTGACCTGGCATCCCTACTCCTGCGCCTGGCGATCATGGCTGGCTTTGGCACTCAATTTCGCTCTGGTGCTGCTGCCAGAGGGCGTGGTTCAGCAGCCCAGGGCTAAAGCCAAGCTTCGTTTCGACGACGCGTTTATCTTACAGTACTTTGAGCTTCCGACGATGCCTTTTTTTTCATCGTCGCCGAACACGTACCAATTGACAGAAACTTGCAGAGGGGCCGTGACCCGGCTGTGACAGGGCGGTGCCCCAGCGCCGAGGGAGCGCTTGCAGTTCGACGAGAGCTTGCGGCCTTTCATTCGTCCCTGTTTAAACCAAGGAACTTCGCAACTTCGCAGTACTGTGGTGTCAAAAACGCCGCCATCACGACGAGCAACTAAGCACCGCATTACAGAGTTGTTGCTAAGTATTTGGTTCGCACGTGGCATATGCTAATCTTGTCGTTTCTGCTAGAGCTGCTAGATGTGGTTGAAAGGTTGGCGGTTTGGGGAACTGCTTGCATTTTCCGAGAACATCCTCGCACCTTCTTGCTCACCCTTGGACTTGCTTTCTTCAGATCGGCCGATCCGGCTACTCCACTCGAACCTCATGCGACTCATTCGCGGGCCGGGCTCTGGAATCCGTAAGGATTCGATCCGTCTGTCAGAAGCCGAAGGAGGTGCTCGGTGCTTGCAAGTGGCTGGCCATCGCTTTCCAAGCCCGACTTCAACAGGAAGTCCTGGCGCCAATGAGCACTGTCACCCCCTTGCGTCCCCTGTCTTGTGTCCATTACAAGGGCTTACAATGTAGTGCAATGAAGCGTGAAGCCCGTAGCAACATTAAGAACTTTACAAAAGACACGAAGAGAGCAGTGAATTAGTTTATAAGCGAACGAAATGAGCGCAATAAACGTAATGAACGCCCGAACGTAGTAAAGCACGGGATTTAACAGATAACCGTCTATAACCAAGAATTACTGGCCATTGACTGCCAAGGAACAAATCATCCAAGAAGCATTCTATCTTTCTTGGTGGTTTCTTTAAAGGGGCTTTAATTAATACTACTTTTATCGCCCCTTTAAAACCCCAATATATTATGCCAATAGTGGTATTAATGCGCTCACTCTGTTCCCTTCAAATCTTGGTATTACAACTAGTGAGTGAAGTGAACAAATAAAAAAAGGAGAAAACGACGCGTGCTTTTATTGCGTGAACGAGTGAGCGAACTTGTGATTGAGATGTTTTTGTGTTCGCTGCACCTTTATTAATAGTGTTCGTGCAGCCGGGATAATAACACTAATAATAATAGAGTACACTAAGTCAATACATGAACGAACTGTACGGGCATAATCTAATCGCGCGTTCTTTCACGCCTTGCATTTTAGTTATGAAATAAGCCCGTTAATAATATGATATTGTATGTGCTGCAAGAGACCCACTAAAACTACTGCATTTCGCTGGGTCTTTTAGCGAGCACCAGGACACAGCTTATGATTGAGGATTTTTCCAGCAGAAACCCCCCCACTCCGCCCACCATACCCGCACGGCTTTCATGCGTCTTTTTAGTCCTTATAAAGCCGGGCAAATATTGCTCTCTTCGTAGTTCTTTTAATAATAGGTTTACAAGGGCGGGCAAAAATAGGTTATAATGAGCCCGCCGTAACAGAAATAATTTGAAATAATATTGTGTGTTACGTTCATATTAATCAAATTCTTGAGCCGTGCAAGCTTGCTTCAAAGCAAACGAGTCTTTGTTAAAGCCCGTCATGCTCGAGCATCATGTTGCGCCCCCTTCGAAGCATATGGGTTTTTCAGTTTTTCATGCACATCATGCGAGCATTGCGTTTGCAAATGGTTGCCTCCCCCCCAACCCTCCGGATTGTTAAGGCGCACAAGCTGGCTTCAAAGCATATGACTCTTTTTGAAACCTTTTTCCAAGCCGTGCACAGCTTGCTTTAAAGCAAAGGGATCTTTTCACAAGCCCTTCCTGCGAGCATGGTCTTTGCAAACGAGCGGCAGGGAAGGCGGGGGCGGTGAGGGGGGGGGGGGGGGGGGGGGGGTTCATACCCTGTCTATGGTACCTCCCCCTAAACTTTCTTTTGCCCCCCTTCACGGAGAACTATCATTTCAACCTTTTTGCCTTTTCCCTTTTCCCTTCCTCCTTCCCCTCCCCTTCTTCTCTTCTTCCTGGGGCTAAACCTTAGACGCATTCGTCGGCAATTATAGTTGCAGTAAAGCAGCATCCGAAAACAAAAACTGTCCTCGTGCCAGGTCGGACATGGTTTCATGACCGGATATGACCGGAACAAATAACACCCCCAAAACTGTTGTTCGTCGCAGAAGCGAAACTCAAGCACTGTTACCACGCAGCTTCGGATAGGAGAGACATGACGGGCACCGACAGAACACAAGCACATGGAATGCTGCGACGAAGCCGGTCCGCGAAAAGCTGCTTCAAGTAGCCGTAGTCTGGCTCATCTTCGAAGCCCAACGACTTGCAGTAGGAAACCTAAGCAAACGCGAAAAACTCCAGGCAAGTCTCTGTTGCTCGTCGCATCAAAAGCATGGTTGGTCCACCCATTGCTGAGGCGATGGAGTGCATGAGTGAGCTCGAAGAGTTAGCAAGTTTGAGCCGCTACAAGTAATGCATACAAGTAGAGAGAGAAAGCGAGCGAAATGAGCGGTTCGACTTCGGATATCGGACAAGCTGATTTCCAGGTCTCGGATCTCAGGACCCATGCTGATTGTCTGCAACCCAAGTCTAGATGCGGTGGAAATACAGACTTGAAACATACACCTGCAGCTGAGCAACATATGTTGCGAAAACTGGAGGGCAGTTTTCGCACAATTGCTCAACAGGAATACTCTGCTTCTTTTCCAGAATTTTCCTTAGAGACCCGGGACAGACTGCGCACACGTTCTGCCCTGCGCACGCCCTGTGCACGCCCGCGTACCCCTGCTAGGGCCGCTAGGGCCGCTAGGGTGCAATCCGAGCTTCTGGTATTTCTGCTCCTTGGTCTGCGCCTGCTTTGACGAGCTCTTCGAAATCTCACACGGCTTAAGTGTGCACGGCATGCAGCGCCTGCAGGCCCTGCCAAGGAAGCAGCCCCCGGCTGAAATAAAGCAGGATGTAGCCCAAGGCCTGTCAATGGGATGGTCCAGCAGTGTCCGTGTCTGTGCGACTTTGATGACTTTGGCTCCTCCAGATCATCCCGACGGCTCTGCTCAGCACCCTTGTGGGCGTTGATCGACGCCTGAGTGTGCAGATCTGCGCATGGAGCCATGAAGGCGGAGATGAAGAAAAAGAGCCTGCAAAAGCCTGCAAGAATGCATCTATTCATATGTGCCACTCCGCCTGAAGGACAAAAAAAAAACGAGGCGTTCCGCAAGGAGACTGGGTCTGGGGCGTACCGAGCGGTTCCCGTCAAGCTTTTGCGCTGACCTGCGATGCAGTGCACAACACAGAGTTGGTGCCGAAATATGCCCGGGGAGCAAGTCATCAAGCTGTCGGCACCGCAGCCCTTCACTGCCGCTGGGCTGCTAAACGGAATGTGTTGGCGCTTGTTGCGATATCGCTTGGCGAGGCCGAAGTCTATGATATGAACCTCACTTCCCACGACTAGAGACGGCTGGAAGCTTAGAGAGCGGACAACGTAACAGGCTGCAGCTGGGGGACAACATTGCACTTCATTCCCGCGCCCACAAGGAAATTATCTGGCTTCAAATCTCTGTGAACAAAGTCCTGGTTCCCACAACCGGCTGAAACCTATAAGTTCATAATTCCTGGACTTTCGAGACTGTAGACTGTGCGTGGGATACGTGGGCTATGCGGCTTGGACAATTCGTGGGGCAAGCAAGCTGCTGTCCTTGTCATGGAGGTACTGGATTCTCGAAATCATCTGCTCAGCAAGCAAAATGACCGTCTTGACAGAGAATGTCCGTCGACACGAATTGAAGAGGTCCTGTCAGCGAAAAACCACCTTAAAACTCGAACACAGCATGGCCCACCAAAGACAGCTTTGTATTGCTGCCTCAAGCGAAGGACCAAGAAGGTCCATCACCATGATGTTGTAAGTGCCTCAGAATTCAGGGGCTCCAACATCCAAAACCGACTTCAACCCAAGGCATCGGATGTCATCAGCTTGCGGGCGCCTTCCTTGCCCGAGAAGTAGACATTTGCGATGCCTTCGCTCCCTTCGAGATGCTTCAAAAGCTTCGCTTCATAAGGAAGCATCTGGTGCAAGCCTGCGGCTCGTACACACATGCTAACACTGCAAACAACCAGCTGTGCCGCGTCGCTGTCTTGTGCTAGGGTTTCCGGTGCCGAGACGCCACTTTGTTCTTCCAGTTTCACTGCAACCTCCTGGCCATTCTGTGAGTTCACCGCATAGTAGACTTTCCCAAAAGAGCCACTTCCTTCCAAGCACGACTGCATCCCTTGCTTGCACCCCACCAGATCTACCGCACCTATCTTCCGCCCCAGGACGAAGATGCCAGCGACATTCTCAAGAGGCTGCGCAGACTCCTTTCGAACCGCATGTGCCACACACAGCGGAACTGCAACTGGATGCAAACGTCAGGTGCTGCAAGCGCAACCAAGGATCCGCACTTCCGTCCATGTGGTGGTCAAGTTACACAACGCACCGCTGCCACGGCATGCCCACATCTGGCTTCAAGAGCCAGCCACGGACTCACACAGACGCACACCAACAAGATCCAAGAATACCCACACAGAGGAGACATGTTTGCGCCTGCCATCGCATCCAGCATGGCCGGGCTGGGACGGCAATCTGTTGCGACGTCTCGAGCCATGGGGCTGCGAGGCTTCACATTCAAGAGGTAAGCATGTCCCCCACACCTCCCCTCGCTGCCCGCCCCCTGCTTGGCAAAAGCACTGGCTCATATCAACCGTCCGCCTCAGCATCAAAGATGCTCCTTGGCAAGACCGAACGGAAACAAAAAAAGGCTTGGCAAAGTGGAGCATGACTTCAGAACTAGTTGCTCAGCGTGGGGCGTTCTGTGAAGATTGTCAAGCAGCCTCTGGCAGCTGGCGCATCAAAAAACGAGCAGCATGCCCATGTGCTCTGGCCAAGAATGTCGATACGGTCGACGCTCGTTATTTGAGAGTGCCGCTGAGCAGAGGCGACACAGGAAGCTTCAAAACCAACTCCTGCACATCAAACGCAACCGTGCTACATAAGAAACACCGCTGCCCCGCATCGGGGGGAACAGGACCGCCTCATCGCACGCAGAATGAAAGCTGTACCTGTTCACTGCGTTGCTTAGGACTGCATGACACCGCATGTCATGCTTCGGCTAGCAGAGTGGCATTGACATGGCATTGACATGGCATTTGCTGCACATTTGCTATCATTACACGCGTTGTTTTTTTCACCAAGAGCATTGGAGCCAGCGTGTCTAAGATGGCTCTTATACAACCCCAGCAACAGCCACTATCAGCCACTGCTACACCACGCCAAACAGTTTAGATCGAGACTCGTGAGTATTCAGCTGCTGTTGCGAAATGGGAGCACTCACTATCCGGCCCCTCTGCGGCACCTCAGATGGAGTCAACACAGCTGTGGCATCTCTTCAATGCCTTCAGCGTCGCCGGCGTGATCTGGAACGAGAGTCACGGCGGCCTCCACCACCCTCCGGGGGCTTTTTGGAGCCGCACTTGAAGCACTCAGTCCTCCTTGCGAAATTATTGGCCCCGCAGGACGAGCATTTCCAGTCACCTGGCCTGGGCTCTTTGCCACCACCTTTGCCCTTGTCGCCATCTCCTTTTCCACCTCCTCCCATCATTCCTCGATCTTCTCTCAATTCCCCACGGGCTGCCTTCTTGCGCCGCTCGCGCAACCAATCCGGGGTGCCACTTTCTGAACTCTTGCTTCGATCTCTGGGCTTCTTCTTTCCATCTGGCTCAGCCGAATCACCCATGATCTGTCGATCTACTTGAACACCCCTCGAACCACGTGGATGGCTGCAAGGCCGTTGACCGATCACAATGCTGGACGGTTACCGTACATTGCAAACCTCACGATCACATGCGACATCCTGCGGCCACAATAGCATAGACTCTGACGCGCCCACTCTGCGAAGGCATCTTTGAAGAGCCATCCCAGCACGGCCACATCCTGCGGCCCGAATCATGAGATGCATTGAATCATCTAGAACAGCAGGCATGATGGGAAGGCGCGAGAAACACCGGCAGATCACGTGAAATAGGACTGCGCCCGGGCCCTGACTGTGAAACCTGTGCTGCTTGTCCTTGCCACTGCTTTGAGCCGTTAACTTCAATCCATTTGCGCTCGCCTCAGTCACAAAATGCCACCACTGAGCTTCCCTGAAACGTGCCGCTTTGCACACTTTTAGTCGAGCTGAGCGCAAAACCTCGCACAAGATGCTTTGGTTTTTTGCGTCCTGCCAGGAAACCGTATGGTCAAGCACTAGCTATCGGACACTGTGCTTTTGCCCAATTCCACTTGTACCACAACCACAGGTTGAATCCGACATTCCTTTTCACGCAATGTCAAAGCCGCCAGCAAGGATGCCAAATCCTCAAGATGCAGCGTGTCTGCTAAAATGTGAAGATCGTTCGTAGGCACTTTAGAAACCATTGTATAAGATTCTGTGAACTATCCCGTCTTGCTGCCCAGGCACACTGGCATGGTCCAAACGACACTCCACCGATCCGCCTGGCAACACGATTGCGGGTCATTGCAGCGTGCTACGTCCGGCCACGTGAGGCTACGTGTGGCTACATGATGCTATTTCAACCACAACCCCACCTGGCATGTCACGGCTGGCCAAGCCATCATGGCATGCTGAGTCAAGTTTCGGTCCAGGATTTTGGAAAAACCAGTCGATACCATTGTTCTATTGGGTAAGAACTTCACCGTCTGGACTCCAAGATCCCAGCTGCCAGGTGCCCTTTTCAACAAAAACTTTTGCGGGGACTTTGCGCAGTCAAACTACCAGGCTACAACTTCTCCAAACACCCGCATACGAACACAGATCTATGGTCAAAGTATGTGAAGCAAGCTGTGAAACAACCGTGCATCGCGAAGTCTTTCTCGTGAAATTTTGCGGTTGGGGGTTTAAAGTTTAGGGGGCTTTGGCGGGCTGAAGGGTTTGGGTCTGAGTCTTTCGAATGCTGGCTTCAGGGATTCTCGCTCCCGCGACGATTTGAGGCATTGGGGTTTAGGTTTCGGGCCAATACAAGTGCATGGAAAAAGGAATGAATAATAAAATTCGGAATTCGAGAATGTCTTTCGAGATGATCCAAATCCAGCTGAACCAGCGGGGAATGGGGAGATGTGATGTGAGGCATTGATCTTGCGAAGCGTCGAATGAAACTTCAGAGCCTTTGGCAAGCGCTCTCAGTTTCGGCCACAGTATGAGCGATCGGCCACCTCAACGGGGTTCATTCCCCCCCCCCTTACTTCCACTGTCCACTGAACTGAATCGAACATGTATATTTTGTTGCGGCGCCCAAACAAGTCGTTGCGAAGCTTCGAATGAAACTTCAGAGCCTCTGCCAGCAATTAACTGTCGGCCACGGCAGCATGAATAGCTTCGAATGAAACTTCAGAGCCTTTGGCAGGAGTTGACTTTCGACCACAGCAACATGCATGAGGCGTGACTGGTTGCGTGGCTTCAGCACCTGACATATTGCCCAAAACCAAAACATGTCTGTCGAATGTCCTGAAACGCATTCTGCAGCGAACAGGCCCAGCGAACAGGCCCAAGCCGCCCAAGCGCGCGGGCAAGAAAACGATGTTCCGTGGGCTGGTAACTGGCGTTTTCCCCAAAGTCAAGGCTGCTAAGCGTGCGAGCGCGTAGTAGGCGGCGAGCTCAGGCGGGACGTTGCGCAAGAAGTCCTGCGCCAACGGCGAAGCACAGAACAGCAGTGAAATTGTCAGCATGCAAACATGCCGCGTCGCAAAAAACACACGCCCACGCCCAGCCAGCAAGCCAGCAATGAAGATTCCGGGTTACAAAGTCGACCATGGAGTGCATCGAAACAAGCATCACTTTACCAAGAAGATTTTCTTGGAGAACGTGTACGTGAGCATCGAAAAAAACTGTATGCGCACTCTGACAGGTGTTGCAAAAACCACTGATGCACATCCCGCATCTGAGCGCGGATCAGCTTGGTCCAGTCCTGAACATGGGGCGTCGGAGCGACCGGCGCACGTGCCACTCGTGGAATGTTGATGACCACAACCCACTTTCGCGATGTGCCGTTAAACGCTTGGCCTGCTGCTGTGAGCGCGGACAATTTGGCCATGGATGTCGAGGGCACGGTACAGCAGTTGAGGGCTTCTATGCCCGCTAACGTCGGTCACCTTGATTTTCCGCTGTCGGAGGCCAAACTCACCCAGGTGTTGCAAGAGCTCCCCTGTGACCGCTCCCCGGGTCCAGATTGTTTGCCTTGTGAAGCACTTCGGGTTGACGATCCATGCCTGCGCTCCTGGTGTTTTTCGAGCTTGTTCGGTCCTGGTCGATCGTCCCTACTGTGTGGCGCTCCACCGTTGTTGCGCCTCTGCACAAGGGCGGCTCCGCAGACCAGCTCACGAATTATCGTCCAATCAGCCTGCTGTGTAGCTGTCAGCAGGTGTTTGAATGGCTTGGATTGAAGCGCTTGCTGCCGCACATTGAACCCTTACTTAAAAGCCAAGCTGGGTTTCGCTGGGGGGCTAAGGAACAGATTTACACCTTGGCAGAAACTGCACTTTTTGCGCATTCGTTGATGTACGCAAGGCTTTCGATGCGGCCTGGCGGGACGCAGTCCTTTTGAAGCTTGCTTCTGCTGGGGTCACTGGGGGGCATTTTGATGCTTTTGCTTTTGTGTGTGACATGTTTGTTTTTCACTTGCTTTGTCTTTCATGCACGTGGCGTCTTGCTTGTTGTTTTGTTCTGTACTCTACCCTACCGAATGGATTGCATTTGAATATTCTTAATTTCTGAATGGCAAGCGCGAGGCGAGGCGCACATAAGCAAAAGCAGCCACGCGCACTGAAGGTCCGGAAGTTGGGGCAGTTGGTCGAGAAGCTCGTGTTCGGCCTGGACGATGGCAGGGTGCCCCAACGGCGAACCGAGCACAACTACGCCTCGTTGGGCTTCGGGCTTGTCGCCTGGCCACACATCATCGCTTAGTTCTGCGATTCCAGGCGGAGCGGGGCCTGCCTCTGCAGCGATGACACAGGTCTTGCCCCGGTTGGACGCGATGCCACACCGGCCTTGATCTCGTCGTCTACGGGGCACCGCCAACGGAGGAGCGCTGTGCTGCGACGCGTCTCCTCGAACGGTCATCCACATCCATGCGCCGTGGAGGTGGACGGTGCCGTGCTGCAGGTCGCGGAGCGACGCAAGCGCTGCACATACCCCGAACTCGCGAAGGGCGGCCCGGAGAAGCTAGTGGTCCTAGGCTCCGAGATAGGGAGCCGCTGGAACACGCAGCACTTTGTTCGCGACCTCGTCCGGCTCCGCGCTTTACGTGCGCCGCCAGCCGTGCGCGCTGCGGCGTCCTCCGGCTGGGCAAGACGCTGGTGGGGAGCCCTTTCCGTTGCGGTCCAGCTCGCCGTGGCGAGATGAAGTTCGACGTTTGCAGTTC